CAAACTGTCACCAAGCTATCAGTCAGCCTCATGACATCATTATTGTAGCTGTTGATAGATCAGTTATTGTGGAAGTTGCGCGAACCTTATGCCGTAATCATGCCGGTGATTTTTGACTTCCTACCTTCAACTCTACTGTGTGATGTTAAAAGTACAACATATTTAAGATGTTTTCCTCTCGCTCCCAATTTTTAGGGTGGTCGTGATTATGAGAAGTAATGGCAAGAGTATTTGGTTTGATGATTGTGAATTGTAATTGGGCATGTGGAATGTACGCCATTTTATGTCACTTGAACAGAGATGCTTCCATTTTAGTCATCAGTTGAAGCTGCAATTTGCACAATGGAATTGACATTACAGGCTGCATATCATTGAGATTTTTCTTGCTACAACAAATGACTGGGCGCTATGGCAAGCAGGTGCCTGCGATCTGTTGACCCCCGGTCTTTTGGCAGTATTCTTATCAGAATTTACCGTGCCACTGAGAGATTTATGTGGTTATTACAGGCGTTTGCCGTGCATGCATCTCTTCCACATTGAATGTGTGGACCAGTGGCTGGCAACCAACAAGCGCTGTCCCATCTGTCGCGTGGACATAGAGACTCATCTAAACAAGGACCTGCCATCTACCTGACAGTTACTGGAGTGCCTAGGTTGCAGCCACAAGGACTGAGGAACTCTTCCTACGTATGTCTTCCAGCTGTGTTCCTTCATTTTGGTCTGCGAGTTTGTAATTGTTAGCTGTATCATTTACCTCCAGCGAGAGTTTGGTAGCTGTGGAAGGATGGTTGGGTCAGTGTAAGTGGTGATGTGATGAAGCACAAATAGCCGTCTGCAGCCTCGTTTGAAACCAAGTGATGCCAAGCCAGAATATAGTGCCCATTTGTTTTACTATATTGAATTGCCTGTTGTAATTTCAATAGGGATTATTTTAGATGTTCTTTTTTGTTAGAGCAGGGTCCAAATTGAATAAGGTTGGTTAAAATTGAAACTTCCATCTTGTTTTATGTAATGAATTTTTGAGTTTTGCTGTTGACACTGAGGTTGGAATTGATGGACGAGTGTTTTATTGGCCTGCCAGCAGGACATGCTTGTGGTATGTCGATGTGCAGCGAATTTTCAGAGGGTCCCAGCTTTCATCTGAGGGAAGCCATGGTACAGCCTTTGGGACTAGCAGAATCTGGCTAGTGGACATCCCATGAAGAAGACATTCCACTGCTTTGTGGTGAGCAGTGCACTAGGCAACCAGCGTAGGTTCTATTGTACAGTGGTATCAGCTTTGAAGCCTGCTAATACGTTTGATCATGTTTTTTGGAAGTTATGTAAGATATTGAAGATGAGTGATTGAACTGGTTTTTAAATTTTTATATTGCATTATTGTGCTGTATTTTTAAGTACAGTCATCAACTTGTTAAAAGACACGAAGTTAGTGACAATTGTTTCCAGTGTTCTGTGCAGACAACTGGCCACTTTGTAGTGTGGTGCGCTCAAGTGGATGGTATTTAAGTTTATTTATGTGCATGTGTATAGTCCTGTTTCATGACTTTTGACTCTACATATATGTTACGGTTCCGTTGTGCTGATGGCCCTGGAGTCTCCGGATGCCGCCACCACGTTTTTCTTAGTCTTCACCTTGGTGTTTGCAGTTTTTCTCAAGTTCTTGTCCATGGCATCAAGTTACAGGTATTGCTACCTCTCAGCATAAGAGTGGTCACACTCCTTTGTCTGTGGAACGCTGTTGACATAACTGGAATATTGATCAGACCCTAAATCAAGACTAACAGCTTTATGTACAAAAGCAGCTCACAAGCAGTCAGTAAGCAACACTTGCCCTAAATGCCACTGTGATGTCTTGCTCTCATGCACTTGTGAACATGCAGCAGTGGGCTGGATAACTGGGCTTTGATTCCTGGTTGGGGCTGGAACTTCTCTCATAACCGCTGCATCTGGATTGGTGCTGGTGCCCATCCAGTGGGTACTAGGAGTAGTTTGAGAGAGCGGGGGAGAATTTGTGGATCTTTACCTTTGTGCTCCGTACATGCCTCAGGGGCAACTTCACCTCGTGGGCAAAGCAGATAATCAGGTAGTCCGTGTACTGAGTCAGATAAGCTCACAAAACCTGTGAACTGCTGTTGTCTGCATGTCTGGCCATGTCCTTCATGTGTAAATGAAGCAGATGTGTCCCCTGTGTATGTGGACAGATCGGAACACCATGACACCCTATTGTTACAGTCAGCTTTTGGTAAAGGAACTAGATTTGTGACAGCATTATGTCAGTGCACAAGAGCAGGAACGTTATATGCCAAAACTCGTTAACAGAGTCGGAATCCCTCTCCTTTTCCGACCCACAGCATTACAAATTTGTGTATCCCTTCTGTCTATCATCGCAGGAACTTGTAAACTATTTTATAGTTATGTAAGATTTGAGGTTTTCACAGCGGTGAGTATGAAGATTTCCGTCTTCTGGGTTGTTGCGCTGTGTAGTCTGGTCAATTTTTAACGTTTCAGAGGTCATATTGCCTCCGTCATCGGGGCGATGAATCATCGCCCCGATGACGGAGGAAGCATGACTTCTGAAACGTTGTTAAAAGTTGACCAGACTACACAGCGCAACAACCCAGAAGACAGAAATCTTTATCGCCCTGATGACGGAGGCAGTATGACCTCTGAAACGTTAAAAATTGACCAGACTACACAGCGCAACAACCCAGAAGACAGAAATCTTTATCGCCCTGATGACGGAGGCAGTATGACCTCTGAAACGTTAAAAATTGACCAGACTACACAGCGCAACAACCCAGAAGACAGAAATCTTTATCGCCCTGATGACGGAGGCAGTATGACCTCTGAAACGTTAAAAATTGACCAGACTACACAGCGCAACAACCCAGAAGACAGAAATCTTTATCGCCCTGATGACGGAGGCAGTATGACCTCTGAAACGTTAAAAATTGACCAGACTACACAGCACAACCCAGATGACAGAAATCTTCTTATTTTATAGTTGGCTACTGATGAAATAATTGGCCACAATCAAGGAAGGGGTTAATCTTTTGCAAAGAACTGGTTGTCAAGTGAAAGATGCGAAGGGAAAATGTTTATCATGAGTTATATGAATGTTTTTCTGAAACATTTTTGCAGACTTATGAATGTGCAAGTTTTTAAGAATCAGTTTAGTTTGCTGAATAAAGTGACAGCCCTTTCAGTTAAAAATTCCCAACTCTGGGGGGCCAGTTGGTATGCCTGTGGGGTCTGTCTGCCACACACCTCTCTAGTCTACAGTGAATAGTTGTACCTCAGGGCTCCATTTCCAGCTTTAAACTGACAGCTCGCAGGAAGTGCTGCCCTCCCAGTTTGTGTGAAAGTGGCATAGTTCCATCTCACTGGTGGACTAGTGACATCTCAGCAAACTGCTTGTATCTTGTATTTGCTGTCAAGTATTTACATTTTAGCTATCTGAATCTGTAGTGACTGTTGGTTTTGCAATTAATAAACATGTTTGAATGTATCTGGCTACATGTACCCCTCACTGCTCCCACCCAGCAGTTTGTTTTGGGGAGACGGCTGGTCTTCTCACGCACCCATTCCAAGCCTCTGTCTTCATGTAGTCTGCATGCTTTCCTGCTCCATATCAAAGTTTCAAGCCTCAGACCACATCATCCTCAAATGTTGAGATTATTTCACAGAATTTTTTTTTTTCTGTTTTAAGTTCTTTGTACAATGTGCACAAAATGGGCGCATTTTTGGGCTAATTTTTTTTGTCTCTCCATGACTCACTTCAAGAACTGCTAGACATGTTTGGTATGATGTTATTGGCCTGAAATTGTACGTCTTAATTTACTACGGTTGGTGATACCAACACGTCAGACAAGTGAATTTGTGAGATTAAATCAACACGTGCCACTACGAATAACGTCAAACAGCGATGTATAGTTATAGGTATTTTGAAAAATTTCACAACTGTGGTATAATAATTATTTATATTATGTAAAACAACAGCTTGGTGACTGCATGAAACAAAAAATAATATCACTTGAGCAGAATTCAATCCCATGACGAGTCCAGTTTGCTACCACAGAGTTAACTTGCATCGTGTTAAATTGATGTTGATATATGGTACCTAAAGATATTAAGAACATATAATATTTATAGTTAAAAACTAATGTTAATGTTAGATTAAGATAACTGATCTCATCTGTTAAGAATAATTTTTCTTTAGAATTTACAGATTAAGAGACTTTCAAGTAAGATCATTGACTGTACATTGCACTAATTGATAAGTCTGTAATACAACTTTAAAACCATCTGAATCAACACTTACGCCAACAATCAGTTTCTGATAGACAATTTAACTGCTAGAGAATAAGGAAAAAGAAGTTTGTGCATTTGCTGAAAATCATGGAAATTATATTAGATTGCACTTCACTCATTTATTTTGATAATAAGATGACATGTAGGTAAGAGATGATGAATAAATGAGATATGCTTATGTTTTTACATTGCCAGAAAATTACTGCTTTGCTGATGTAAATGATACAGATGGTAATGCTAGTGTGTGTGTGTATATATATATTTTAATTTAGCTACGAGCATTCCGAATTCAATCTTTGCAAAGAACACGTGGAGACTGTGTATTCTGGTGCAGATTTCACCTTTCCAGTCTAATTTGTTCTCATTTATAGCACATAGTGATAAAAGAATTCAAAATGAACTCCTTCAGAATTTAATTGCATTTAAAATGATGTTCAAGGAGAATCTCATATTTAGTCAGTGCTACACAATATTGCACCGACTGCCTGCTTTTGTGGCGGTCAGCTGTGGTTCCTTCCACCTGCCATAATACAGTGTTTATGTGTATTGATGATATTCATTATTTCATGGTGGTAAACACGCGGCCTGCTGCAGGCATGATGGCAGAAATGTCCCGTATGTAGACAAGATTCAACGCCCTTGCTTGAACAGTGGAAATGTGGCAGCTTTTACAGTGTGACTTGTTTTGCTAGTGTCAGGGGCTTGATTCTAGTGGTTGATTTTATGCTTTGTAGTCTGCCATTGTGCTCAAAGACTGTCTTTATAATTGTTTATATTAATATTGCATGTGAGGGCAAAATTACATTTTTCATGGTATTATATGTGATGTAAAGTGTTTGATCTTGTGTTAAATAGCAAGGAGAGTTTGAAACTGAAAATACTGCATTCTGTGACATCAGGTAACAGTGATGTTGATGCAAGGGGTGATATGAGCAATGTGATGCCTTGGTGCATCTGTTAATGACAGCTGACAAGATATCAGTTACATTAATGCCAAGATAAGTTTTAATTTGTTGCTGTACATCTGATTTGATAATAGGCTTGCTCAGAAATCTGTCAGGATGGTGCTCATGTTTAGGTCCCTCATTGGTCTGCCCTGTGACATTCAGTCATTTTGGGTGCTGTGTTTTCAAATACAGATCACGTTGCCTCAGCAACATGATTTTTTTTTATTCTTGCATTGATGTTATATAACTGCCACTATTTCATGTTTTGTGTGTGTGTGTATATCTAAAATTAATTTTATCATACTTATGATCATTATTTTCAATTCAGTCAGTCATTTTAAACGGCTACTACAAAACCCTCAGGTTTCAGAAAACAGTTTTTCCACATTCCACTAACATTTAAAATAAAATGTTTGAAAATTCTAGAATGAAACTGCTGTTTGTCAGCTACAAAGCAATGATATCAGCAATATTTGAATATTTAAAACAAACTTGGAGTTCATCTTCTCAGTTATCATCATCATCATCATCATTACCCCTGGCCGATACAGGCCATGTTAATATTTTGTCATAAATTTTCTTGTGTTTATATGAAAAGCAGGACACCAAATAATGGATGTCTTATCGTTTTTACACAATTAATAGGTACTTTATCTGAATAAACCGTCTTGAATGTGAGAACAAGTTTTGCTGGCACTTGGAAGGTCAAACATTTGCTTTGTTGAGTCCTCAAATGTATAATGATGCAACATGTAACTTTGCTCGCATGTTTGCTAGGTGTGAAGGCCCTGTAAAAAGTATTCAGTTTGTGCATTGATGCCCACTCTTTATGGAAAGATGTGTGTAGGATGTGTTATCATGTTCTTAACTTTTTTGCCATAAATGGATTCAGGCCCTTTCCAAAATGACTGATTGAATGATTGATTGACTGGCCTAATAATATGGAACTGCATGCACACATGCCATGTTTTAGACTAAAGGCAGCCTAATTTGAAGTCAGCTGACAATGATGTTAGCTCCTATCCAAAAACAGTCGCTGCCATAAACTGTTTTCACGACCTTTAAGGTGGTGTTGCACCATAAGTCATAGAATCAGTTTTAAGACACTAAAGTAATTTGGGCAGTCATCTGTAGGGATACAGTTGTGCCTCTGAACATTCTTATGAAACAATTTGTCTGTGTGAGGATGCTGTGGACACAGTTCATACCGATGCAATTCTCTGCATTCTAGATACTGAAACTGTGCAGCCTCATATAAGGTGAGTGGTGATCCAGTCCAGGAAGGCAGAGACCCTGGTATATACACCCGGATATCCAGGTTCTGCGCACCGAAAGCCATATGACACGACGCCGATCAGGTAGTACCGCTGGCTCTTGGACCACATGAGTGGCCCACCAGAGTCACCCTGCAAATATTCAATTAATAGTGGTAGGAACATTGTACATTGTCATGCTGAATGCTACATTGTCACATACTTTGACAAGGTAATAATGCAGTGAACTCTTCATGTTACGCAAAATTACCGACATGTCACTGACCTGGCAAGCATCTTTCCCACCCTGAGCATACCCTGCACATAGGACATGATCATCAATGTGGGCTGTGCTGAACTTCTTGAAGGCATCCTTGCACTGCGCCTGACTGACGACGGGGATCTGTAGCTGCAGCAGCTGGGAGCTGGATGGTCCATCTGCAACAGGACAGGACATAAGAGGAAGAATGACCTGAATTGCACTCTCTCGGCAGATCCGTAGTCTGATACTCACTGAACTGGACAGAACCCCATCCCGCAATGTATGGGAACTTCCTCACAAAGTCCAGGGAGCGAATCTCGGGAGCGAGCGGCAGACAGATGGGTCTGATGAGGTCTGCAGACACAATGGACTGAATGAGATATGACTGTGATAATGAAGCCGTACGCACTTGAGGGAGTGGCTGAGAAACGAGATGTTAGCGCAAAGAGTGCAGGTAATGTTACATCTTGCAGATATATGAAGGAATTATTAACACAATAGTCAATAAATTGTACAGTAGTTGAAATGGAATATCTGCTGTGTTATTTTTAAAGAGACATTTGAAATTCCAGAACATCAGTGATTCTGAATGCCTGGCAATGACCTACTTGTGTAGTTGACATCATTCTGCAACCTCAAGATGGCAACATCATTGACAAATGTTCTGGGGTCATAGTTGTTGTGCACTTTATGGTCTTCTATCAAGATGTCTATTGGTGTAGCCCCATCATCATCTCGCTCCAGGTCCAGCTCGCCAAGCCTTGCCATGTACCTGCAACAGGAGGTATGATGGAGAGCAAGTCCGTTGCTGGGACGTGCCGTATGAAACGTACAGGACATCAGAAAATGTTATGATCAAACATTGCGTGTCTCACTAACTATATTTTACGTCATGTTTAATATGATTAGCCTTGTTTTGTAAGTGGTAACTTCATGTAAAATATAATAGACAAGATTTTGATATTGACAACCAAACTACATTTTGTGTTACTTTTATCCCATAACCAGATGAGACTTACAAGTCCTTGCGGCCATGCACGCAGTGTCCTGCTGTGATCACGTGTCTGTTGGTTATGAGGGCACCTCCGCACAAGAACTTAATGTCTGCTGAGGATGATGACTTGTAGCCCAGTGCCACAAGCCAGGGCCACGCACCTGTAACCACACGTCATCTTGGTTGAGGGCCGCGAGCTTAGACATTTCAGCCCCCAGTTTTCTCCTATTCCGTGACATTCAACTGATTTTACGGGTACGTTAATGCCATAGTGTATAAAATTTGCAGTCTGTTGAAAGGCAGCAGCTCCATCAGACAGTTTTCACTAATAATTGAATTTGTTTTTGTTGAAAGTGACTGGAAACACCCTGAAAGTGGACTATAATTCACAAGGAAGTAAACAAACACATTCACCCATTTGGATGGATATCTGAGAGCACCCTGAAGCTACGTGAATGCACTTACCAAGTTTTGCGGGATATCCGCCTATAATACGTTGCTCGTCCGGTTGCCCTGCAATGCCACACTCTGTGACATCTGGGAGCTTCACAGGTTCCTTGACTGGTGTCCTGGAGTCGTTCTCGGGTTCTGCCTCTGTCGCGCGTGTTTCAGTGCCCGGGCAGCACACCTTGGGGTCTGACCCCTCGTAGCCACACGCCGATGCGCGAAGGAAGTCTGCCACGCCGGCGATTTGGCGCTGTTGTCGCAGCAAGTTCAGGAGCGGAGAGCACTGCTTGATGTTGAGACACATGCCGGCCCGGCCGCTTGGATTTGTGCAGCCATCTGTTGGCAATAACAGTAAGTAGCAGTCCTCATTGTTGCCCCTGTACACTGTTACTAACAATGACCTCATTTGTTTGTGTTCTTGGGTATACATGTTGATTTAATTTTACGTGTGTCTGTGAGTTGCCACAGTAGCAACAAAAGCAGCAGGTGCTAATTGCTGGAACTCACCTGATCTTGAGACACTGTTGCTGCTTGCGGCCGCCGCCACAAGTGCGAGGAACAGCAGACTGTGAAGCTGCTTTGCCATCTGTAATAACGATTAGATTGCGTTTGATTGTTGTCTGCGTGTCTTGTGGTTTTCTTAATGATGCAGTCACTGCTTGTCATTGAATGATGAACTGGAACGTATATGGAAGGAAGTGACCATGGCCTGATTTAAGGACTGTACAAGCATTTGCCTGGAAAAACCATGGTTGTTGGTATCAAGGTTTAGATTTCAATGCAGGAACTCTTCAGTGATACAAAGCAGCGCTGGTGGGTGGCTGGGACCACTGGACTGAGACGTTTAGTTGTGCTTTGCGTCCCCGAGAGATGCATTCAGAGCTTTTTATGACTCCTGTTCAGACTGCACTAGTGCTCCCAGAAGAAGTGGCACAAGGGACGCTAATCTCTCAATGACAACTAGGAACTCCCTTGCTGAGAGTCAGGCCTGTCGCGGGGAGAAATGGAAATCCTCCGCGCCACCCTGGTGACACTTTGTTCCGTCCTGAGCCACTTCAGTCTCACTTGCACTTTTCAAGAACATTTTATTGGTTACTTTTTAGTATTATCCTCTCAATTCTCTGGTATGACCTTCGTTAGAGATTAATTTTTTTGTGATGTGAATCGCGATCCGGGTTATGAACCCGTATACTGGGGGGCATCCGGATTTTTGCAGTTGCTGTAATTCGGTTGTGATGTAGATGCCGCCAAATTTCTGTAATTCTTTTTGTTTAAAAGGGACCACCGCGGCCACAACGATGGATCAATTTTTAATAAGAATGGAAAACAAGAAATGAAATTAATCGTGCATAGCCGAGTAACATCATTTTAATCCCTCAAAGCATTGTGGCATTTGTATGTACTCTCTCATTGTACTTCCATTTTTTTCTGTAGTATCTGTTGAATACAAAACAATCTGACCAGTAGTTGACCTGTAACGTGGAAACCCACAGTGATGATCCCCAATAATTTTGTCATCTTTTGGACTTCACTTTGGGAGATGGATGCTGGAAAACATTTTGTATGAAGTTGGTAACAATGGTGGTAAGCCTCGACAATTACCACAGTCAGTTTCTTGTAAATTGGTACTGTAATAGACTCCTTCCACTGCGGAGGCAATTTCTCCTTATTCCAAATAGAATTAAGGAGTTTATGGGCCTGGATTCAGAGAGCTACATCTTTGTAAAGCCTTGCGTTCGCTTGCTTTATTTTGGAAGGTCGATGTTATAGTAACGAGCGGTGTGAGTCGTACTTGTTTGAACACTACGTCACTTGGCGATGTCGAAGTAGAAGGTCGACCAGCTTTTATTGACCACGGTACAAGAAGTTGGTTTTACAAAATGGCCGCCATTTTCACATTCGGCCGACCGTGAAGCAACTTGCACGAGTCGGATTCGCTTTCATGGCGATGACTCAGCGGACTTTCCCGCAGGCGCTGAAATTCAAAGAAATGCAGCAAGGACCCCCCCCCGCGGGCCCGTCGTCGTTACGTCAGTGCACAAATTGACGCGACGAAAACAAGGACAGCACGCCGACTGTTTGCGTTGTAATTGGTAGCCCTGTTTCCGACCATCACGATCCCGGGCTCGACCCTTGGACCGGACATACAAATATCGAAGAAAACGAAAGTGGCTCGGCCACCTTGGCTTGACACTTGCAGTAGAATGGCGAACCGTAGCTCTGTTTCAAATGTACAAGACGTTTCGAGATTTTCGTCAGTTTTTCAATCGAATTCAGACACAGCTGAGAACTGTGGGTCTGTAACGTGTGCCACAACGCTCGTATTTCCTGCACAATTCGGGAAATAAGTGAACGTGCGAGAGTTCGTGTTATCATTTGTTGTGGGCTAAGGAAAACTGTTTTCTCCAATGTAATTTGAGGTTTTCACATTTTCATTTTGTGCGTTTAGAATGAAAATGACGCGTGCGTGTCCGTTGGTAATTGCAGTGATTGTGCGGCGGAGAGAGGTACTCAAGGTTACCCAAACACGGAGTACATATATATTTCTCTCTCTCTCTGACTGACCGGAACTGAGGTGCGTTCCGAAGGCCGAGGTCTGAAGGATGCAGCGGATTGAACATCACGTGACGAGTAAATCCGCTCGAACACAAAGCTCAGCATCTTGGCTCAGTTACATTTTGTGGCCTAATGGGATAGCTCTTACCTTTGAACACATCGGAATGCCAACCAGTCTCAGTTCTCGCTGGCAATGAAGTCCGAGGACGCGCTGACTTTGTGTTGCCAATACGAAACACCTCAACTATCTGAAACGCTGATTTCAGGAAACATTTGACGATACAAGCCAGAGTTTCCTTCTCAGAAGAATGCGTAAATATTGGAACTCACATTCTGTGTGGTTGTGTCGGTTCGAATCGTGACAAGTAGCATCGCGCAGGCGCAAACCAAGCGGTTTGTCAGTGCCACAGCACTGATTGGTGACATCAAAACTTATTTAGCGGTTCTGTTTTCTTCCTCATAGAATAAAAGGACAGTTCTCAAACCATAAACCAAGAACATTCTACAAAATTGTTTTACTGCCAAATGAGACGGGGAAGTTGGTTGGCAAGTATTTTAATTTTTCAAGGCAACGAATGTCAGGACATACTGAGCAGCACCATGAGAATATGCCGGACAGGCCGAGTTCCGAGGCGCGTACCTCTCCGGTTTTCATCCTTGGGGCACCAAAAAATAATATAACCGTGATCAAAAGTCACAAGAACACCCCCCCACCTCCAACCCTTATTGAATCTTGTAGGCACTGAGCAATATCGCCCCTGCAACTTCAAACACCACGGATTTGAAAGTTATCAGATCGCATTTTCTTAGGTTCAGTCGTCATATTATCCTCCCAAGGTGTTTTCTTATCTTCAGGTTCCTCGACTAACGTCATGGAACCGAAATTTCAAAGAATGTTTCCAAGAGAAAGTTGGAGCATTTGAACGGCGTGACGAACTTCACTGAGTGACCTCCGTTTAATGAAAAACTTCACCCCGAGAGTTGGTTCATTCTCGATATTCCTCAGTTCTTGTAAGTGATTTTGTTGACAGGTCCTGCCTGTGTGCTTCGCTTCGAGACGTAAACACATTCAAAAGCGACTTACATTGTGTATCGTAAGAACTCACCTGTGTTGTTGACGTGTGACGACCGCAGCTTCACTGAGCATCCGGCGTGCTGACTGCGACCTTCATCCATCTGTTCGTTACTTCTCCAGCCACCGGTCGCTGCTGAGTGACGCGTGGGGGATTTCCTCTCATGACCTTTACAGCTGAGAACTTGTTCGGAGGGTTCCATGTCAGTTCAGTTGTACTTTCCATGGCAGGTTATTTATTATTCGTTCTATGAACGAAATGCATAGCGAGAAAGCATAAGGTCATGTCTGTCCAGGCGATTCAACTCGATAAGCACTGGGCGAAATTTGATGTCGAGGTTGTATTATTCTGCAATATCTCAAAATCGCATTTTGAGTATCCAGTACGAACGGCAATAACATAATGTCTGGAGAAAACAGTCATGAGATAGACGTTGAGGTGCTGCGATCTGATGGCCAAAGTTGGAACTATTGAATAAGATGGTTTTAATTCCTCTATAAGCATGTTGTGAAGAATGCATGAGGATATATTATGTATATTCCGGTACGGAATACACTTTCATAGCTTGTTACAATGACCAGGACTTTTCAGTACTTGTCAATGGATCTGTGTTCTATACCAAATAAGTTAGACTTGTAGGAGCAAACAGCAGGATGATAATAGCAACTTACTGGTAGATCCAATCAGAATTTTGAATAGGCTGAAAAATTTCTTTAACCAGCTCTTAAATGTTCATAGGACTGATGATAGACATACGGCTGAACTATTAGTGCCAGATCCTAGTTAGATGAAGTTGAACTACCCATTGGAAAGTTGAAAAGTTATAAATTTCCAGGCATTTATCACATTCCAGCAGAATTAATTAAAACAGGTGGAAAAAATTGCACATGAAGTTCCATAAGCTTATTCAGTTAATTTGGGGTAAGGAAGAGATGCCACAGCAATGGAAGGAATTATTCCTGTTCTTAAGAAGGGGGACAACACAGTGTGGTAGTTGCCAAGGAATTTATATTAAACATTCTTCTGGCGAGATTAACACCATATGTGAGTGAAATTATGGGAAATCATCAGTATGGCTTAAGACAAAACATGTCATCGATTGTTTATGGATTTCAAAAAAGCCTGTGATTCTGTTAAGAGAGAAGTTCTGTACCAAAGAAGCTACTGAGTGTAATAAAAATGTGCTTCAATGTAACATGTAGCAAAATTCGTGTAGTCAAATATTTGCCTGAGTCATTTTTCGTCAAGAATAGTCTGAAACAAGGATCTCTGAAACGTCGGTAAACGTCTACCAGACTACACCGGGCAACAATCCAGAAGACAGCAATCTGATATTTAAGATACAGTTCAGAAGGAGATGTACCAAATATCCAAGAAGACATATTCTCCGCCGTAAAGATCGGAAATTTCAGAAACGATAGTGACTTCCAGAATAAATGCAGCTGTCAACCATTACTGTAAACGTACATTCCATAATTTACGGCAGCTAAAATGTAGCACATTCAGAAAATAAAGTTAATTTCTAGCAGTTTCCGCTAAAGGGCTAGTAGATGGCAGTAAGAACTTGTTCAGTAGACCCTCTATGAGAAGGAACATACAGTAATCGTCACAGATTTTCTAGTCTTGGATTTTTTCTATATTCAACATAAAAAATTTTGACTTTCAAACAGTATGCAGAGAATCGAAATAGACTATCCACAAAGTAACTGGTAATTATACAAAAATGCAAGTTACCATGAATTTTGGAGATGAGATTTGGTTAGCGCAATGATTTTTAAACCTAATGAATGTAATTTTTAAAGCTCGGAAATGTATTTCTCAGTTTGATAGTAGCGTTTAAGTACTGTTAATAATTTGTGGGAAATCACGAAAGATCTCTAGTGCGAAATGATGAGATAAATCTTTCCGAATGGGTGATGAGGTCATTTAGTGTTCAAAAGAACGCACCCTGGCATCCAGTTTGAAGATGTACAGCAAACGTGTATTGAAAAGTAAAATGGCGTCAGATAGTGAAAGGCGTAAATTAGTTGACTTGCGTGTTGTTGATTTACGTGCAGAACTGGAGAGGCGCAATTTAGATAAAACTGGCGTAAAAGCTGTTTTAATAGAAAGATTACAGAAGGTAAGTGATGTAGCTTTCATGATCTAATGTGCGTTATGAAACGCATTCGTTGTGCGAGTTCTGGCTTTATAAATTCATGTTCTGTATTTTGTCGTAGGCTCTTCGTGGAGAAGGACATGACTCCGAAGAATATTTTTTTGAGTCATCAGAAAAGAAGATATCTAAACGTTCGTCGATTACAAGTGAGTTTAACCATTTTGTGATTTATTCTCATAGTGCCGGTTGTGTATATCGTGGTTGCGTTGGTATTGGGTTTCCGCCATTTTCTGGGAATTGTACGTAGATAGCTACAAAATGTTTTGGCGGTTAAAACTGTATTTTCTATTATTGTGTCGCATGCAACGGAGTTCAAATCATCTTCATGCTTTTTATATCGATTACTCTTCATAATGTATGCAGCTGTTGAAAGTAAGTGTTTGTTTTAGAGACAGGAGGCCTTGTGAGGTTCTCATGGCCGTGAAGATGTCCGTGTTTGGGCTGTTGGGTTAGATTTCTAGACGTAGGTAGATGCTACTGTTACGGAGGAACATGCATCTATCATCTGCAGGGCTGATGACTGCTTGAAATACTATTTATAAGCATTCTAGTATGTTATTTCAGTATTATATAATAATTAGATCCTTAGGTTACAATTATTGCCTGCAATTCTTGTGTTTTTTGAGACTATAGTCTGAGCTGTTGGCATCATCATTAAACAAGATTATAAAATTGCAGACTTACTGGAGTACACAGTTTCAGTGTGTGATCTGTACTCCTATGCTTTCTTACTATTGGCTGTTCAAAATAACTATGATGAAGATTAATAATCACAAAAAAAAAATGAAGCATGCTGTAGTCCAGTGTACATAGTTTTCAGTACTAATATCACTGAAATATACGAATGTATGTTTCAAACATTAATTTCTGTTTGCTGCTTTTATCTGAAGCTGATTGTTGAGAGGTTGCCATAGTTTCAAATAGAGATCATTGGCTTTAAGTTTATATGTTACAGAGTGTCTTAATATATACAGTATATGTTGAGGATTCTCTTAATGTATTAATTTTACAGAATGCATTCACAAACCAAAGTGTATATTTATATTGATTATACAATTGAATGTATGTGCACCATGTGTTTTTAATATTGACAAGGTGCAATTCTGCTGATTTGCTGACCTTATGATTAAATACTTTTTGAGTTGCATTTTTTTACTGGTTGAAAGTTTTAATAAGGTACAGATGAATATTAAATTAAAAGTAATTTATTGTTAGTTTGGGAATAATTTATTATTTAAGTCCAAATTTTGTATGTGTTAAATTAGGTTGACATCACTTGAAAGATTTTCACCATCGTGTTTTTAATGAATATTTTGTGCAGTTGTACAATGTCTTATATATAACAATTAAATTATGGGTATATTTATTTATTTGTGTGTTTGCATATATCTTGAAAATGTAAAACTGGTTTGTTCCAAATGTGGTGTACTTGTTCATTAAGACTAGGAAGAGAACGCAGTGTTGTGAAGCTCTGAAAAGAGCATTCTGAGTTTGTTTTTCGGTGAATGTGGTTCTAGTAACTCAGCGTGGTAGGAATATGGTGCCAAGACCAAAGCTGTTTGTCATGAAGAGCAGACTGTTGCCTACATTTACTTTTATGAGAATTTGCCATTGTGGCAGATGGGTAAGGCATGTCACATTGATAGTTTGGCATGGTGAATTAGTTCTCCTAAAGTATGTTAGCTTTTTGCCAGAAACTTTGGAAACACTGGGAGTGGGTGCTTCCAGGGATGATGTGCCACACAATAATTTATGACTGCTCTGTGCTTGGGTGTGTGTTTGTGTGTAAAAACACGCGCAACCTACAAAATATTCCTCCTTGGGCATATTGTTGTAATATTCTGGAATACAGAATGCACGCACATACGCAGGCTCCTGTGTCATTGGGAAATTTGTGCATGTCTGCTGTTACTGCTGCTTGTTTTGTATGTCTTATGCCCAGTTGATATTAAAGTATCTTCTCTCCCCACATTTGCGTGTTGATCTCTAATGTAATTTTTATGTGGTACATAGGAAATTGCTTGAAAACACTTTGTGGTCCTTACAAAGCTGCTCATTGTGTCATCACCTTCATCGTTATTTGGTACATGCAACATGCAGAGAGACCTTGTGGTACATATGACATTCTGTCACCACCCCCTTTTGACTGCTAGTATGATTTCTTTATGTACAAAAAAGTCTATCCCTAGGTAATAATTGTTTCCATTTCAGTAGAAGGAAATATAATCATCTGTTGGTTCAGAGCCATTCTTGCCCCATCTGACTTTCTGTATGCCTGCTGAATTGAGTCTTATATTTTGCTAATTCTCTTGATGCTGTTTTTAAAGAATCTGATGTATGGAAATTCCTGACATTCCAAATTTCATGTCCATTTTCCATTCCTTAGGTTGCTTTGAAGAATCAGTCTAATACAGAGGCTGGCATGTACCAGCTGATTTTTTGGTTTAGAGTTGTTAACACTGCCCAGTTTCCAGGCTGGAGGATCACCCCCTGCTGTTTGTAACTGCATAGATAAGGATGGGAGTCTATTACAGCGCTTGACTGACAGCTTGTTCGCCGCCATCTGTCGCTGGGTGTTGGCTTCGCTGATCACTGGCACGTGATTGCGAAGTTATCAATCAACTGCCTTCATTTCAGAGCGCAGTGAACAGGATGCAGAGTCTGAGACGCAGAGCATTGCAGAGGAGAATCACAATGCAGACGTGGATGAGGAGCATGATGCGGATATGGACGAGGATGTGAAGAAAGAGGAGGCAGACAATGAAGATGGAGTGCCCGCCCAAGTGACAGACAATAAAACAGTTGTGTCGATGCCTGAACCTGTAACAGATGGTGTGGAAGTGAAAGTGAAGGACGAGGCGCGATCGCAGGCAGAGGTGCGTGTTTTTGCGCTTGTTGTGGTGATTCTTTTGTATTGTTACAGCATATTTTCTCTTTTTATGCCATAAGAGCATAAATTTGGAAGTATTTTAAAGCAAAATGTTAAGAAGAGTATTCAGAGCTACTGACGTAGGTACGTTGATTGAGAAATATAGGAAATGACATAATGAGGAGCCTGTGCTTGTACGTTTGCTGAATCATTAATAGCCATTCCTTTTCTGTTGACTGTGCAGAAAATGGCCTTAGGATGTTGTTGACGCTCCTAGCAGCATCAAATCTTATCACCGTAAAAGATAGGTCCAATTGTCTTGCTTGTACATACCACAGATCAGACCAGTTTTATTTGTCAGGTCATGAACAAGTCTTGAAATTCTGCGCTCTAGTGCAGGTCGTACTGAGAATTCACCTTTTCCGCATAAGGAAAATAAGGCCCTATCAGAAGAAACCTCTGATTCATGTACAGATAAAATAAATTATTTAAGTAAAGTTATTCTGATGATCAGATGTGGTTTAAAAAGCATGTACTACTGTCGCCTTGTATGATTGCAGTTTTAAGAACTTTATGGAGCCGTTCTTGACTGACACACCATTCCCCTAGATTGGGGGGTCTCGACCTTTTTCGCTGGCGTACCACTTATTCTAATTTAACACATTAAATGTACCACTGACCAAATGCATTCAGGGAAAACTGTTATTTATGTTAATATTAACTTTTGATTTTCTTATTTAGTTCATTTGCCACTGAACTTTGGCTTACATACCACAGGTTGAGAAACGCTGACCTAGGTGATTAATAGTTATTCTAGCATCAGTATCACCCGCTATCTCTTCTGCCAGTACAGTTTTTTGTATCTGGCATTTTCTCTAGCAATTATTAGGTTGTTTTCAGATTATTGATCTGCTTGGAACTGGAAACTGGCTGTGAAATTTTCAGAAATATTTTCTAGCAGATTTGTATTTGAGAGAGAGTTGCACTAAACACATGCTGTTCAGTAGTATACCTCATTTGAGCCACGTGCGGTGCCGAATGTTCGATTGAAAGATGCATCAAAATATGCAGACAGACACAATGGATTATGGAAGTATGTTGTCACTGACTGCTACTACTGCAGGGGTGTGTCAGGTCATTGCCAGGCCAGCCACTCGCTCACCCGCTGTTTAACAGTCGAGCAGAAGGAAATTATCCTCAAACTACATTCTACTGGCTGCATCACAAAGCACACTTTAATGATTGCTAAAATTGTACTTGCTGACTGTGGCGTTAAATACATAGCAAGTAAATAAATCGGATGTAACAAATTAAATATATTTGTTTTCAGGAAGTGGGCATAGATGTCGACAAGAATGTGCCTGAAGCAAATGGTGTGGATAATGAGGACTCCATCAACCTCACAATAGGCGAGGATGAAGAAAAGTTGCTAGCGGAGGAGGTGGGTTTGCAGGAGCTCCATATTCTAGAATTAAACATATTGTGTTCATGTGTTGGGCTGTGGTTGGGTCATGTCCAGTGGGAATTGCGGGCGGAGTGATGTGGTTCTTGGATGTAGGAAGAACATTCATTACCTTTACTGATTTTAAAGGAATGGTGTGAACCCAGTACGGTTTCCCCACCAAAATCAGTGTGGAACCAGTGCTACGTAAGTGCATTGTGTAGTTGCTGGTTCATCTGTCGCGTTTGTCTTGCTGGCCCCCTTAAATTAAATTAAATCCGTGGCGTAACAGCTCCAGAGAGCCAAAGCCGACTAGCTTGACTGCTGGCCTCACATTCATTTGCCTAAGCAGAGGTGAACGATCATCCAACCAGATATAGGGTGACGTGTGGTCAGCACGACGAACCCCCAGCCATTGCTAGCTTACCTGATTGGATTACGCTACTCATTGTAGCTCCCCAATTTCCTCACGATGCTGGGTTGGCACCGGTCGAAAGCTCATGAGAAAATTTCTTCTCCCCCGAGACTCGAACCAATGCGCATTCCGTATCGCCGGTCCGAAGCATGATGCCTCAGACCGCGCGGCTACGGCGCGGGACTCTTGCTAGCCCCCTTTATGGCTAAAATGTGTTTTATATTCAACATAAATTCTTGTCATACTGTGACACCCACCATTACTAACTAGCCTCTTGGTATTATTTTAATTGAACATGAATTTTTAACAGGAAAACATGTTGGAAAACTATATTGTTTTATAAATGCTTCGCAAATACTACATGTCCTCATGGCATATGGTACCATTTGAACTCTGCTTGGCATTGCATGCTTTATTGATTAAGGTTTGTAAGTTTAGGACATGACCAACAGCGAGACATTGCACTCTGTGTCAGTCTGTTCAATGGGCTGGTTCAATTTGAGGTCTCGCTACATGAACTCTGTCGGCTGCACTCCTATTCCCCTACTGCTGTGTTAGCAGTTGGATTATAAAGTGCAGTACATAACTAGAAGTTATCAGAGCATTTTGAACATCCTTCCATTGCTTTCTGTATAAGTGGTCCAAAATCGTTGATTGGAAATTGCCTGGGATATGTGAATGGTTTCAGGTGTTAATCAGTTAAAATGTAACAATCAAATTTTTGTGCCACAGTCAAAAGTAGCCATTTCAGTACTGCGTAGAGAAAGTCAGAGTCTCCAGGATTATGTGTGAAGTAGTGTACTTCCTTTTTTTGTTGTTGTAGGAGGACAGCAGCAGCCAGGAGAAGGAAACCAAAGGTACTGTATGTCTGCTTGAACGGGTGTTTGCTTCTGTTGTAAAGTCAACTGCCTCGGCGTGGCAGTGGGTGAGTCCCTAAGTGAGTGAAGTGTGCGCAAGATTCTGAAGAATGCTGGAAGAATTAATATCCATATGGTCAGAAGAGAGAGAAACCGCTAGTTGACAGTGACATGGGTGGAATTGGGCCTTGCCTGCTGCCGTCTCATGATGCGAAGGCACTTGACTTTTCAGTTCTTACGTTGTAGTGGTTAGGTTTGTATTATGTGTTGTTATGGGCAGATGATACGTCTGCCATTCCCCGCCTGTTTGCACGGTCACACGAAGACGTCGACTGTCGTCACGAAGAGCTAGTTGTGTCTCGTTAGCAAGCACTTGCAAGGTGTGAGCGGGGGGCCACCTGCTCAGGTAAGTCTGGGGTCAATGGCAGAGTAATGCTTGTCCACTCTTTCAGTAGCTAATGACTTCTGTGGCGGCGACGGAGTGGAGTCACTTCCTGTCCAAGCAGCAACAGCGGCGACGGTAGCAGACACTGATGAACGCCGTCGTAATGCTTCCTTGATTGTCCCTGTAGATGAGGATAGTGCGGTGGCAGGCTTGACTCAGCAAGAGGCAGGAGGGGATGCAAGCAAGAAGGATTCGCTGGGCCAAGAGGAAAACAAACGAACATCGGAGGAAGAGTCGCTAAGCAAGAGCCAAGAGGAACACAGTGATGATAAATCCGGCGGAGGAAGCAAGAGGTTCGTCTTACACGCTCACGGGGTTTGTATTATAACGGGAACAATCAACGAAGGTCCCTTCACAAGGAACGTCGGCATGATCTCGAGGATGTTGGTTTGGGTGGTAATGTATTGATTTACATTGGGGCCAGTGTTCGTTGATCATTTCTGTAGGTACCTGGGGCTAATAGGTTAGGTGCATCAAGATGGAGCAATGGCACAATGAAGACGTGATACAACTTCTTGGATCTTCAGTTTGCTAAAAGTTTGAATATACCATAATCTGCGAGTCGGAGAAGATAAAAATGAAATTTTATGCTCAACAAAAATCAGAGAACGAAATTTTTGTTTTTCGTAATTAAAGCGCAAGGACAGTTGTATGAGTTATTTGGTAGGTGCAGATGATGGTGAGTGGTTGAAAGTCACAAAATTAAACATTCAAATTTAGGGGAATGTCGGAGAAGTGCCCAGAAGATGCCAGAATGTTGTCTGATTCATTTTTGGCCCCAGAGAGAAGCTGCATTTTGCCACCCTGTGATGGATGCTGAAGCTTGTGTTATCTTGGCATCGTGTCGCAGACGACTTCTTGATGGTGAACTGGCACACGGAAGAAATGCAAGTGCCGATCTGATAGCGACGGCTGCTTATTATTTCGTTTGTACGACTGTGTAAACTTTGTGTGTTTTAATGTAGAAATTCTCTGAGGACCACAGTGGACTGTGTCCACATGGGATAGTGGGTGGGACTGACTGCTCCTGGAGAACGTACTGACTGCGTTTCACTGTTGTTAGGATGATTAACCGGAAGCCAGAGGGGCATTGATTAACATTAGTTGGTTGTGTAGTTGTAGCTTGCTGTATTTAAGTTCCTGACACTGTGTGAAGAAACACTGATTTGTTTTTTGTGGTTCCCTGACAGTTCTGTTGCTGCTGCTGACTCAAAGGCAACAAAAGATGAGAAGGGTGAGTTCTCTGTTGGTATCATTCAGTGACAAGGTAGATTTGCTTGTGACTCCTCTGTCATATATGCATTTTTTAAATTAAACCTCGATGTTTTGTGTTTCAGTGGAGAAAAAGAGCAAGTTGTCCGTGGGAGGAACCACGAGTGGCAGCAGCCGCAACCTTTGGGTTAGTGGATTGTCATCATCCACACGTGCCACAGATCTGAAGCAGGTGTTCTCCAAGTATGGCAAGGTAAGACATAACACGGTCAGCTGGTTCATTTTGGCATTGTTGCGATGGCTACACTGCTGTATTGTTATTGTTGAAGATAAGTGCTGAGGGGACCAGGTGATACTGTACATGCACCTCCACACTTTTTCTGGCCAGTTAAAAAACATTACCTTGTAGATGGGTTATTGCATTGAGTAGACTGGATGAAGTTTACCAGCATTTCAGAGCCTCGCTGACTGCCTGTCTATGGCACTAGGGAAAGCACCTAGCAAGTGATCTGTTGGTGAATAATCGCAGCTTGTGTTGTGTCCTTTCTCTTTCTGTTGGTGGCGTTGATGCCCCATCTGTAAGTGCAATGTCACATCATTGTGTGCCAGTATTAGTCTGTAAAGCTGCTGTCATTTCCCTTGGCCATCATAAAGAAGGCTCTGGTGTTTGGGAATGATGTGCTTACTGGTTGAGTTATTCATGTTGGATGACATAATGGTCCCTGATTTTGTCATCAGTCTTGAAAAAGTAATCTTTTAATGTTACAAATTGTGTGCATAGGATGTGGCATAAAGGGCACCGTTGGAATCTCTATGTGTCCTGAAGAATACGCCTTTCTAATCTGGTTTATCTGCTTTTGTTCATAGCAACATGTGAGGCAATGTGCCCTAGTTTGTGACACAACATTGTAGGGACTGTGGTCATCGCCATGGTCCCGTATCACTCGTGTGTGAAGCAGTGTTAATGAGGTGTCTTGTTTTTCCTGCAGGTGATAGGTGCCAAAGTGGTGACAAACGCTCGCACGCCTGGTGCCAGATGCTATGGCTATGTCACGATGGCAACAAGTGACGATGCTTCCAAATGCATTCAGCATCTACATAGGACAGAACTGCATGGGCGAATGATATCTGTTGAACGGGTAAGTTAATCGTGTGTGTGCGTGTTAGTTAGGCTTGTAAATTATATTAGAGGAAACTTGAGCATATTTTATGAAGAAGGAAATGGGACACTTTCTTTTTCTGTTGAGAAGTCTTATTTCTAAAGTATGACATAATTATTGACATGATATTTTTTTTTGTACAGATGGGGTAACGTTACAAGTTATGTATTTGGTATTATCACAGATTTTAGCAGGGGAGTCTTTTGAGAGGTGATGCAGAAATACAGTTGAGTGTTGGTGTTGCGTAATGATTGACTGATTGATTTCAGGAGGGGCGAGACCAGTTTGGAGATCCTAGTGTAGGTACAAGTGTAATATTAAAGAACTAGGGTGTGAAGAGTGTGGACTGGATTGTACTGTTTCAGGATGGGGTCGACTGGTGGGCTGTTATGAATATGGTGACGATTTTTTGAGTTGCATAAAATACAGGGAGTATCTTGACTAGATGAGTGACTTTGATTCTAAACAAGAACTGTGTGTTATGGGTTTTATAGGGCTGTTTACAGTTATGTTTCAACAGCACAGGTTGGATTATGTCAGGTGAGATGGGAAGATGTTGTTGAATTATTACTGCTTTGGCCTTTGGAAGGACATAGTCACCTGTTTGGGAGTGCTTTCTTCTGTGATACAGAGAGTTGCCACAAATGAGCGTCGGTTTAGGTAGCTGATGATATGGCTACCTCTTGTTGTGTTGAAATAGAAGTAGTCAATGTGATTGTTTAGTATGATGGTATCAGTTATTAAGTGACCTGTGTTTCAGGCAAAGGGGGATGCCACAGGGCCACCCAGGAAGAATGAGAGCAAAGTGAGCGGCAGCTCCGTGAAGAGAGCCGAGGAGAAGAAGCGGCACGAACGACGACTGAGCGCGAGTGTCAGTGCGAAGCAGGAAGCATCCGACAAAGAGGAGAAGAGAGATCGGGAGGCTGACCTAGGTGAGGGTTTGAATCCTCTCTGTTCTCTTTCTTCATAGTTTATCTGTTTCTTCATACTTTGTTTTCCTCATTATGACTTGTCTTGAGGCTCTCTAATCTGTGTGCAGAAGTGTTAGAGGTGAAGGACGAAGCCGCAAAAGATGGAACACCCAGCAAGATGGATGGAGATCAGGCAGTGTCAGGTGAGGACAAAGACATGCCTGGAAAGATGACGGATGGTTTAAGGAAGGAAGGCGGGAAGCACCAAAGTCGTGAGGTGTCGCGTGAGAGAAGGGATCGTCACCGCAGTGCAGGGAGTAGCCACTACTCGCATCATAGTCGCAGCCCAAACAGTCAGCGCTGTGGGTCTCGCCACCTCATGTCCCCCAGCAGGAAGCTTGGCGTGCTTACGTTTGCACAGATTCGAGTGAGTGCTGAGGGTTTCCCAGGACTTGAACCTTCCAGTCATTTAACGTGATTGACTTTGAGTATGGTTCATGTTTAGAAAATATTTGAAAACTTGATATGAAGCGTGGAGGTGTTGTGACAATAGCAATTTGTTATCTGCATCTTGTACATAATAACAATGTCAGCACTGAGCTTGTCCAGTTCTTTATACATTTATACTAACAGCCAGTCTGTGTTATGTTGGCAGCCATCTTTGTAGAGCCTTGATCATTAGCAAATAGAGTACCATATTCCACAAATGTTGTATGGATGGGAAATCATAAGAGACGCTGTGCAGAGGCCAGAAGTGCAATGGGTCCTTTGTTTTGAGTGCACCAAGTTGTGTGCAAAGACATTGTTTGCCATGTCAATGAACTATGCATATCATTTCATATCATCTGCGTGTCATGGCAATGTGGAGTGAGTTTTAGTCCACAAGATGTTTTCTCATGTGCAGGACAGCCTTGAATAAACAGTTCCCTTTATTTTTTAAGAATCAAAAACATGTGCATGAATTTATTGAAGACATGGGAATTAGGTATACAGAACAATTAGTGTCTTGAAATTCCAGCATGATGTTTCGTGGTTGAAGTCTGAAGGATTATGATGATGGGTACATTATAATCTGTAAAATTGTTTTCTTAGGACTTCCTCCATTGACTGAATTGTGAATGAAGTAACAGTGTTTTAGAAGCTAAATTCTTCTTCTGTGTTCATCTAACAAAGAACAAGCTGGATTGTATCTCATGGGCCATTGGCTTCAGCTAAACCCAGACCTAGACAGCTGCAGCAGCTTTTGGAATAAATGCTGCAATTTTATTTATAATTTAGACAGTGGTCATTACTTTTCACTGCTTTTGTCATCATTGGCTGAGCTAATGTTAGGATCACTTAATTATCTTCCATGCCATTAAGCTTGGTACATGTCACATTTGAAGCTTCTCACCCAGAACATTAAAGAAGATTAATTTATCGTAGTCACTTTTTTTGTGTTCCAAATGGTGACAAGTTTACAAACTGTAGCAACATTCCCTTGTTTGCGTTTGGACAGATGTGGCTGCAGCTGAGTTATGATTTATTTTATACTTATATCAAGTAATTTTCATCAGATAACCAAAGATAATAGCCAGTGGCAGATCTCCTGAAACCGGTAAGTGCGCGCGCATGCACACATGTATAATTGCAGAATTTTTTGTTTTACGTAGGAAGAACGAGAGCGTCAGCGACAGAGAGAGCATGAACGCGAGTTGCGGGAGGAGGATAGACGGCGGCGTAATGAGGTGTTGAGGCAGAGGGAGATAGAGAAGATGCATAGAGAGGAGGCCATGAGGCTGGAGCGGTGAGTGTTCAGGCCCCAGTTGTGCTTTGTCTTGCCACTTGTTCAGATGCCTCTGATGTCTTGGCTAACTTAACATTTCTGTCTTCAAGGTTATTGCCTTGAACCAGTCTGTGGAAAATTGAAATCTGTATGAAGGTGATCCTGTCCCATGATAAAATTTAACAGTGGTTGGGGCTCCAGAATTACAAGTGAAATATAGTAAAACATTGTGGTGCAGTTTAGTTTTATTTTCAAAACTTTACACAGGAGAACCCCTTCTGTATCTTATGGTTTCAGAAGAGCACCATTCAAGTTTTGTAGTTTTGCTTTGAATAATGTGACTTACCCACCTTTATTCTTTGGTGGAAGGAAATTGAAGCCTGTCGAGTTATTTGCTTATTGATTGAGGTTAAAATGTGACTGTCAAGGGGTTCTTTGAGTGTAATTCTGGAATACTGATGTTGGAGTGTTCCTGGACATCTAAGGGACACCAGTCAGGGAAAATCAATGATCATTTATAGCTGAACACCAAATAGACATAGAGGACTGTTTATTTTGATGTAACAGGAGCAATGACCACTTTTCATCAGTAATTCCCCTGCAGTGTCAAGGGAGTGTTTGAAATAAGTGAAATGCCAAGGAACATCAACTGAGAAGATGGCCAGTTTTGTAACATGAGTCATTTAGCTTCCATTACTCAATATGACTTTTAGTTGGCAATTGAGACCACTCTCTCAGCTTTCAGGTGGCTGTATGTGTACTCTAGAGACTGCTTTGTTTGTTAGAGCACCGGGTGCAACCATTTCTGTATGTTTTGGTCTGGTTAACACTAAATTACATACTTTTCAGTGAGAAGGAGAAACTGCGCATTGAACGGGAACGTATAGAGCGGGAGCGGAACGAGCTGATGCGAATGGAGAGGGAGCGTCAGAGACTGGAGCGTGAGAGGCTGGAACGTGAACGAGAGGAGCTGAAGCGTCAGCAGATGAGGTAATGCTACAGGTGTGGATGGTTCTTGGTGGGACAGCGGAACTTGATGTTTGGTGGGGTGATTGGCTGCATATGAGTGAGACGTGTTATGAAGACAGAAGCTTCGTGGACAGCTGTCGCTATTGGAAAGGGATGGGAGAATAGTATTAACCGTGGTTCTTTTGAAATGGTTTGTGAGTAGGGTGAGTGGATAAAAATGGCTCGGTGTCATCTCCAGTGACTGGCTGTAATATTGGCCGTTAGGGGGTACAGCTCTTGGATACTGGTTGCAGAGTGGCAGTGGCAGGGATGAAGTACTGTACTCCAGTAAGATTACAGTGCAAATTAAGCGTTGTTTAGGTGCCCTCCATTTTCTCCTCTACAGTTTGTTTATTCTGAGGGCAAACTTGTTTCCAGATTTGAAGAGTCACGCCGTACAACTAAACGACCGTCCAGCGACCGCCGGGATTCTTACCCAGATGAGAGGAAACGGGTGGCAACTGAGCGTCGCTATGATGGTCCTGGGCGCTTTGATGAGGGAGCAAGGTATATGAATAATGTTGAGTTAGGTATTAATAGAGTTACTGGAATGGTTTGTGGCCATGTTTGGTGATTTATGTCCTACTGCAGTTGAGGTGACTGATGTCATTGCATACATACCACAGTTGACCATATTATTTATTGCAGAACATGGTCAAAATTAGCAGGAGGCATATATAAGTGAAATTTGGTAATATGCCTTTTATGATATGCAAACATCAGTGTAGTTTCGAAATTGGTTGACTCCCATAATTTCCTGTTTCTAAGAAAGTAAACTTGATACTCTTATAGAATACACCATGCTTCGTTTATGTTAGGTTTGAGCGTGGCCCAAGTTTCCGAGTTCGTGACGAGCGTCGCAGTGACAGTGATCACCGTAGCAAGGTGGATGTTCGTCACTCTAGAGACAGATACCCAGATTCATCGAAAGGTGAGAAGACATGCCTATGTTTTGTGGCTGGGCAAGTAGAAACTTAGAAAACTGATGGCTATGACAGCACCAAAGTGGAACGTGATCTGATCATAAGCTTTGGTGTCTGCAGTGTTGAACTTTCGAGTTCTGTTACCATGGAATTGCAATTGAATGAATTCTTTAACAGAAGATCATTTGAACAATACATGCAACCAGTTCTCTGGAAGTATGGCCTCCCATGTGCTAGGGCAAGTTATGACTATTGGTAAGTGTGGAACGTAATACTTTGCTTATTTGAATGTAAGGTGCACATTTATTTCCAGACTTGTGTCCCCTTAAAGTAGTGGTGAGGTGATATGGAAGTGAAACATTGAATGTTTCAGTGAAAATAAGTGCATAAAATAACAAGTGGTAAAGTGGTGGAAAGGGCAAATCATCTGTCTTGGCACTGGAGCAACTTTCTGCCATTGACAGGGAACAGGTAATGAGCGAGAGAGGGAGGGATGAAACAGCAAATCTATGTTTAGGTGATGATGGGAAGGCTTCATAAGTGTAGTGAAGTGTAGAGAAGGTCCTGATGAAATGTGAGTGCATCAGTTCAAGACGTATGTAATTCATTACTGTTACTGTCTAATGTTTTGTTGGTATTAATTTTTAAGTTATGTACTTTAGGTTTTATGGTTTTGTAATCTTATGAGTTGTTTTATTTTGAGTGTGGTGTGTTTTGTTGTGTCTTATTGTAGGACCACTGCCACCAGGTAAAAACCCATTTGCAGTAAAAAATTAATAATAATAATAATTGTAACTTGATGAGGTTTGATTCTAAATGTGGCAGGTGCTTTTTGTACTTCTCCTTTTGTGGTTATTTGCCGTTGGCCAGTTTTTAGAAGTGTGTTTGTAAACCGTGAAGAATTTCCAAGTATTTACACTTGTGTTGTCTGTGTTTACAGGGGAGAGTCGTTACACAGATCGTTCAGGAGACACGTGGCATACGGGAGGAGGCCCCCCACCAGCAAAACCATTCAGCTCTATGGGCAGTGGAGGAGTGCCTCCTAGAGACTCCTGGGGTCCATCCAGTGACCGGAAGGGTGACAGCAGCCAAAACTGGGGAAGGCCCATTGATGCAGGGACCTCGGAGAGGTGAGTGACTGTGAGTGTGCTGTTTCACAGACTTCGTCATGCATGGGTGGACTGGACTGACTGTCTGTCTTTCAATGTTGTACCCTCTTCATCATACTGTGAATTGCTTTTGTGTTGTCAACATGTATATTAGAAAAGAGGAAAAAAACATATGAACACTGACAATCTGTTTTGTTACAGAAAATGTCTGTTAATGAAGGATGGGAAGCTTGGTGTCCAGGTGGCAGGTTCTCAAGTTATTCTGAGTCGATCATACTTCAGAAGATAATTGGTGATACAGGCTGTTGCATAAAAACTGAATAATGAGATGTCTGTTTGCAAGATAAACAGAAAGTATTGAATGTCAAATATTCTGTATTGTAGTCCTTCGTTGGACTTATATGTGAACTACGTTGGTGGAAGATCGGCCTCTAAGCATCAGCCAGACCAGATAATCACAAACCTAGGAGAACCCACGTCACTGCCAGGAGAATGGTGTTATGTTTTGTGACTGTTTTGTTGTAGGTGGGTGACAAGCAGTGGAGGCCCAATGGGAGTAGTGGGGCGTGGTGGTCCAAGCATGGGCGGGCCAGGTTCAGTGTACAGCAGCCCGCAGAACGTGACATCAAACATGTCTGGCATGAACATGGGCATGTCCAGCAGTGGTGGACCATATGGTGGTGATCGCTTTGATGCATACAAGCAGTCGATGGGACCCATACGCAAGTACTAAGCATTGTCTTATGACAGGCCTGTGCAGTGCCATGATGACCATGTGCGTTAATAGTGATATTCATGAAACCATGTGAAAGTAGTGTTTGTCATTAATTCATTTGTGAACAGAAGACAGTTCGTTATGTCCGTGTGCCTGCAGCATTTTAGGAAGTAAGTGATGTGTATGGGAGTTTATCCAAATATGGAAAATGATACGTGTTCTGGGGCACGTGATAAGCTACCCTTTCTTGCAAAACAATATAGACATGATTGTGTGCTAAAGGGACAGCATTTTCAGGAATATTGTTATATGAAGCAGTGTATAAGCGCCTGTTTGAATAATGGGGGTGCTGAAGTTGTTGGTTTCCATTTATTTCCAACATTCATTCCCATGGGATATTTTTCTTTTCCAGAATTAATTCCCATGGGATATCTTCTGTGTAATTTTAGAAACTCTGAACTGAATGTGTTGCACTGTTTCAATGTATGTGACTTATTGTAATAAAATCTCACTTTAGAATCAGCTTGCTCCTTCCAGATGAACAAATTGCAGTGTTGTTTTGGGTTTGTGTATCCTATGTGGATGAGTTTGTATGCCAGAAGCAATGTAATGCACGCTCTTACCATGTTTGGGAGCTTTCCTAACCCTTTGTTTCCTGCGCTTGTCACTGGAATAATGAGTTTTTGCAGGTGTCACGCAAATCATACCTTGTGTGCCAGTGTGAATGCTGTGTTGGAAAAATCCTGAGAAGAAATTTGCATTTATGGTCTCCCCCCAGGGGACCCACATCAGTGGATACAGGCACTGGCATCCCAGTGCCTGGGGGGTATAGCTGGGCCACCCTACCTCAGGGGGCTGTAAATACGGAGGTCTGGTCCTCCAGGTTGGGGTTTGGGCGTGGGGATGACAACCCCATTCTGTAGAAAGCAACTGCCAGATGCACTCATTCATGACAGACTGGCAAACAGATTGTGAATGAGGAAGAATGGAAGAAGCTTTTGAAGAATGCTGGGGCCCACACAGGGCTGTAGAGAAAATGATGATGATGCCCCCCCCCCCCATTTTTTTTAAAAAAATGTCTGAATCAGTGGTTGCAAATGAGTTCAAACTGTTGAGTTATATGGTTGGTTATATACAGTAATGTAGATGTGGTTGAAATGTTCTTGTTAGCTTGTTGCTGCATCTCTAGCTCAGAAATTTTGGCATTCTTGTAAGTGAATATTTTATTGGGTTGGTCTAAAGATGAATGGGCAAGGTAGGTGAGAAACAGCCATGCCTCCATGGAGATGGTGGTATGCTGTATCCAGTGCAAGCTTGTGTTGGTATGTTGTTCATTGAATTAAGAATTGCTGATTCAACTGGCTGAATGTTGTTTCCATCGCTATAACCAAAAGAGTAAGTCCTTTCAAAATGGTTCAAATAAAGAAAATACACAGTGCTAGGTATAAAATGTTGAGCTGTTCACAGAAGTATCATCTTACTATCCCACTGTAATTTTAAAATTTGTGAATTGTTAACCTAGATGTAATATTCTTGAAAACTGACGATTTTTATAAATGCTGCTTTGTATTTACACTGATTCTTTCATTTAATTTTGTTTGACTTTGAGGCTTTTGCCTCATTTAATGCTTAATTTCATTGATCCAAAGTCATTCTCAATGTTATATTTTCTCCATTTCAGATGTTTTTCAGTGTAGTGTTCAGATTCATTGCTCCATAAAGCAAATTCAGATGTGCATTTCAGTCTAGTAAGTGCCAGTATATATTGGTTTGTGGAATGTTTTGTTGGTATTAATTTTTAAGTTATGTACTTTAGGTTTTATGGTTTTGTAATCTTATGAGTTGTTTTATTTTGAGTGTGGTGTGTTTTGTTGTGTCTTATTGTAGGACCACTGCCACCAGGTAAAAACCCATTTGCAGTAAAAAATTAATAATAATAATAATTGTAACTTGATGAGGTTTGATTCTAAATGTGGCAGGTGCTTTTTGTACTTCTCCTTTTGTGGTTATTTGCCGTTGGCCAGTTTTTAGAAGTGTGTTTGTAAACCGTGAAGAATTTCCAAGTATTTACACTTGTGTTGTCTGTGTTTACAGGGGAGAGTCGTTACACAGATCGTTCAGGAGACACGTGGCATACGGGAGGAGGCCCCCCACCAGCAAAACCATTCAGCTCTATGGGCAGTGGAGGAGTGCCTCCTAGAGACTCCTGGGGTCCATCCAGTGACCGGAAGGGTGACAGCAGCCAAAACTGGGGAAGGCCCATTGATGCAGGGACCTCGGAGAGGTGAGTGACTGTGAGTGTGCTGTTTCACAGACTTCGTCATGCATGGGTGGACTGGACTGACTGTCTGTCTTTCAATGTTGTACCCTCTTCATCATACTGTGAATTGCTTTTGTGTTGTCAACATGTATATTAGAAAAGAGGAAAAAAACATATGAACACTGACAATCTGTTTTGTTACAGAAAATGTCTGTTAATGAAGGATGGGAAGCTTGGTGTCCAGGTGGCAGGTTCTCAAGTTATTCTGAGTCGATCATACTTCAGAAGATAATTGGTGATACAGGCTGTTGCATAAAAACTGAATAATGAGATGTCTGTTTGCAAGATAAACAGAAAGTATTGAATGTCAAATATTCTGTATTGTAGTCCTTCGTTGGACTTATATGTGAACTACGTTGGTGGAAGATCGGCCTCTAAGCATCAGCCAGACCAGATAATCACAAACCTAGGAGAACCCACGTCACTGCCAGGAGAATGGTGTTATGTTTTGTGACTGTTTTGTTGTAGGTGGGTGACAAGCAGTGGAGGCCCAATGGGAGTAGTGGGGCGTGGTGGTCCAAGCATGGGCGGGCCAGGTTCAGTGTACAGCAGCCCGCAGAACGTGACATCAAACATGTCTGGCATGAACATGGGCATGTCCAGCAGTGGTGGACCATATGGTGGTGATCGCTTTGATGCATACAAGCAGTCGATGGGACCCATACGCAAGTACTAAGCATTGTCTTATGACAGGCCTGTGCAGTGCCATGATGACCATGTGCGTTAATAGTGATATTCATGAAACCATGTGAAAGTAGTGTTTGTCATTAATTCATTTGTGAACAGAAGACAGTTCGTTATGTCCGTGTGCCTGCAGCATTTTAGGAAGTAAGTGATGTGTATGGGAGTTTATCCAAATATGGAAAATGATACGTGTTCTGGGGCACGTGATAAGCTACCCTTTCTTGCAAAACAATATAGACATGATTGTGTGCTAAAGGGACAGCATTTTCAGGAATATTGTTATATGAAGCAGTGTATAAGCGCCTGTTTGAATAATGGGGGTGCTGAAGTTGTTGGTTTCCATTTATTTCCAACATTCATTCCCATGGGATATTTTTCTTTTCCAGAATTAATTCCCATGGGATATCTTCTGTGTAATTTTAGAAACTCTGAACTGAATGTGTTGCACTGTTTCAATGTATGTGACTTATTGTAATAAAATCTCACTTTAGAATCAGCTTGCTCCTTCCAGATGAACAAATTGCAGTGTTGTTTTGGGTTTGTGTATCCTATGTGGATGAGTTTGTATGCCAGAAGCAATGTAATGCACGCTCTTACCATGTTTGGGAGCTTTCCTAACCCTTTGTTTCCTGCGCTTGTCACTGGAATAATGAGTTTTTGCAGGTGTCACGCAAATCATACCTTGTGTGCCAGTGTGAATGCTGTGTTGGAAAAATCCTGAGAAGAAATTTGCATTTATGGTCTCCCCCCAGGGGACCCACATCAGTGGATACAGGCACTGGCATCCCAGTGCCTGGGGGGTATAGCTGGGCCACCCTACCTCAGGGGGCTGTAAATACGGAGGTCTGGTCCTCCAGGTTGGGGTTTGGGCGTGGGGATGACAACCCCATTCTGTAGAAAGCAACTGCCAGATGCACTCATTCATGACAGACTGGCAAACAGATTGTGAATGAGGAAGAATGGAAGAAGCTTTTGAAGAATGCTGGGGCCCACACAGGGCTGTAGAGAAAATGATGATGATGCCCCCCCCCCCAATTTTTTTTAAAAAAAATGTCTGAATCAGTGGTTGCAAATGAGTTCAAACTGTTGAGTTATATGGTTGGTTATATACAGTAATGTAGATGTGGTTGAAATGTTCTTGTTAGCTTGTTGCTGCATCTCTAGCTCAGAAATTTTGGCATTCTTGTAAGTGAATATTTTATTGGGTTGGTCTAAAGATGAATGGGCAAGGTAGGTGAGAAACAGCCATGCCTCCATGGAGATGGTGGTATGCTGTATCCAGTGCAAGCTTGTGTTGGTATGTTGTTCATTGAATTAAGAATTGCTGATTCAACTGGCTGAATGTTGTTTCCATCGCTATAACCAAAAGAGTAAGTCCTTTCAAAATGGTTCAAATAAAGAAAATACACAGTGCTAGGTATAAAATGTTGAGCTGTTCACAGAAGTATCATCTTACTATCCCACTGTAATTTTAAAATTTGTGAATTGTTAACCTAGATGTAATATTCTTGAAAACTGACGATTTTTATAAATGCTGCTTTGTATTTACACTGATTCTTTCATTTAATTTTGTTTGACTTTGAGGCTTTTGCCTCATTTAATGCTTAATTTCATTGATCCAAAGTCATTCTCAATGTTATATTTTCTCCATTTCAGATGTTTTTCAGTGTAGTGTTCAGATTCATTGCTCCATAAAGCAAATTCAGATGTGCATTTCAGTCTAGTAAGTGCCAGTATATATTGGTTTGTGGAAATATGTGACAGTAACTCAGTAGTGACAAATTGCAGGCTGAACAACTACATATCATTTTTGGCAGGGCAATATTCAAAAGGGAGGGGCAAAACAATTTGCATCAGTTTAAAGGCACATCTTGGACGAGTATTATTCGCTGCTAAAATATACAGCCTAGATCTTGGCTTTGTGTTGTGTCCAGCTTCTTTGCTTGATCTTAGAGAAAGTCATGAAGTTGGTTGTCTAGGGTGTAGGACTTCCCATCTACTACAGTAGTGATTGCAGCACATTGTATATTTTTATTGTAATGGGGTGGGTCTAAATTGACGGGGAAAACTAAAGATTGAATAAAGCTTGTTTAAATGTCAATCCCAGTATTGAACGTGATGTGGCGTATTGAGAGGCCGGCGAATAACCGTCTGAGATATTGCACGATCGGTCCGTGAACCCGAAGAAAACAGCCGTGAAAACCTCAAATACTACAACCTGAAGATAATAGTCTATTGGGTGTGGAACTGGCGAAATATTAAGTAGTTTTAAGCGCGTTTGCAATTCTGTAGATACCTTGAGACTGTACCACACACAGATCTTTATGAAAAATGTCCGTATACGTACATTTTCTAACTTTTAGGTTTGGAGTTTTCACGGCTATCGTAATCCCGAAGAAGTCTTGTCCACATTGAAACGGACCGAGATGATTTTATTGATTATCTAACTCGCGGAGATTTCTGAATTAAACCTAGCACGGAATAAAATTCTTTTGGGATGATGTTCTACGAAGTTTCAAAAGCCCTGGTAACAATAATGCAGATACATTTCTTTTGTCCAATTACCGTCAATATTTCATCTATCGATAGCGGTGGGAAGTTCTGTTAACGGCGGAGGGATATTTATGTTCTGATCAAAATTCGATAACCCTGAAATGGGAAATTTATGATTATATGTGAAGGTGTGTGAACGATTGTCGCTTTTTGATTTGGTTGATGTCTTGAGGTGTGGAAAGAAACAATATATTCAGTCAGAGGCAGAAATAAATTGTATATTAGCTTCAATTTAATACTTTTGTTTTTCTTCCACAGGCTTGTATTTAAATATGTACTTGTGCCACATGGATTGTGGACTTTGGAAAATTAACGTCACACGAATTATGTTTACGTGGCGATAACGTTCAGCGCGTGTTGTATTATCGGCTGCAGGGGTTGATATCTTTCTAAGCAAGTAAATATAATTTGTGGTTCAAAGTACTTTGTTGTTTTGTTGGTTATTCCGTTCTATTTTGCGAGACATGTTTTCTTCTCTTTCAGTAAATCGTCTGTTATCAGCTTTAGCATGTGTGGGACGGATTCCAAATTTGGCGAAATGAAGGCCCTAATCCTTGTCGGCGGCTATGGTACCCGGCTCCGCCCACTAACTCTAAGTCGGCCAAAGCCACTTGTTGAATTTGCTAATAAACCCATGTTGCTACACCAGATGGAAGCATTGGTGAAGGCTGGAGTAACCCAAATTGTGTTGGCAGTGTCATATCGTGCCGAACAAATGGAACAAGAATTGAGTGATGAAGCCAAGAAGCTGGGAGTCAGTCTATTGTTTTCACATGAGACAGAGCCCCTCGGTACTGCGGGGCCACTTGCACTTGCTAAAGATATTCTGGGAGCAAGTGATGAAGCATTTTTTGTCCTGAACTCTGATATCATATGTGAATTTCCTTTCAAGGACTTGGTGGCTTTCCATCAGAGTCATGGTCAGGAAGGCACGATCGTTGTCACAAAGGTGGAGGAGCCCTCCAAGTATGGTGTTGTGGTGTATGGGGAACAAGGGCGCATCCAGAGCTTCATCGAGAAGCCCCAGGAATTTGTTTCCAACAAGATCAATGCAGGAATGTATATCTTGAGTCCGTCTGTTCTGCGTCGCATTCAGTTGCGTCCGACAAGCATTGAGAAGGAGGTTTTTCCAGATATGGCTCGTGAGGGTCAGCTGTATGCCATGGAACTTCAAGGCTTCTGGATGGATGTTGGACAGCCGAGAGACTTCCTCACAGGTTGTTGAAGCACAAACATATAACTGTAGAGTACTGTGGGCCATGCAGTTGTATGCTGCACACATTTCACCCATTAGAATAATTTGGCCCGGTAATGTAATTGAATTGATATATCACACTTACACATGGACACTAAAAAGAAAGTTAGTCCATGGTTTTGTTGCCCGTGCATACTTTTTATAGGCCCATGCTAACAATGTATACCACCTGCTTTTACAGTCATAATATTGTATGTTACAGAATTTACTTACATGTTTTGCTTGGTCCTCAGAATAATGAACAAGTATTGTCCTACAGATTCTTAAAATAAATTTATAATGTTGATCAGATTTTAAAGTGGTGGTTTTTTGCTCATGGGGCCTGTCTGTTTTATGCTATTTGTGAGAACATCAAAAGTCAGCATTCACTAATTGGGAAATGTAGAGGCAGTAATAGGGCAAACATACTAAATTTGGTGCACTGTGTGTTCATTTTCTAACATGTTAAATGTTCTAGATGAGTGTGTTTTGTCCTTTAAATAGCTGTGATGACAGAAAGTTCCTGATTTTGGAGTGTGTGTGGAATGAAAATTATTTTTATGCATGTCAGGGCTGCCAGTATTGCTGGCAACAGTCTAGGGTTTTTATACAATTACACCAGCTTTGTAATCCCAGGTTCATGTTAATAAATTGTTACAGGTTTAACTGGACACAGGAAGTTGGGCAAAATTCATCCAATTCATAATGTTGCAGTTTACTGTGGTGATAATGCATGTCCATGCAGATGAACTTGGTTAAATTTCGCTCATTTGGAAGATGGTGAAATAATTTTCAGAGTTGTCTTTCTGTGTGAGTTTTACACACAGTCTTCTGTTTTATATGTATTGGAAACTTGAGAGAAGAAAAGATGTTTAGGTGTTCTGAGAAGAAGATGTGTCATGAAGTATAAGGGAATGGAGAAAGTTACATAATGAGGAGCTTATTTGGTTTTAATCTTCACTACTGTAATATCTGCAGGGTTAAATCAAGAAGGATGAGAAATGTAGCATGCATGAGGAAAACAGGAAGTACTTGCAGAATTTTAAAGAAATATTCTGTACAAATGTGTACTGGATTGAATTGACTCGGGTTAAGGTTCAGTGTTAGTTGGTGTGAATGCCGTGATGCATCACAAAGTTGGGTAAAATGTTGTTTGACACTTTAGAGGCAGTGGTTTGGGGTGTGACCCAATTTTTTATGTGTGTTCAACTGAATAATATGAACTAAAAGTAATAGGAAATGCAAACCTGGCCTGTCATTTGAAATAATGAATATGGAAAACATTTCATTGTGAGGTAATAATTAGAACAAATTTAAAATCAAAATTGATATATTGCTAGTAGTATATATTCCACAGGTATGTGTCTGTACCTGACTTCACTGCGGCAAAACAATGCTGCCGCACTCCATTTAGGTCCTGGCATTGTGGGAAATGTCCTAGTGGATCCAACAGCTAAGATTGGACAGGGCTGTCGCATTGGACCAAATGTGACAGTTGGTCCTGGAGTGGTGATTGAGGATGGCGTGTGTGTGAAGCGCAGCACATTGCTTCGAGGAGCTACTGTGCGTTCACACTCCTGGCTCGATGGCTGCATCATTGGGTGGCGGAGTGTTGTGGGTCAGTGGGTTCGTATGGAGAACACCACAGTTCTGGGGGAAGATGTGATTGTGAAGGACGAGATATACATCAATGGAGGTCAGGTTCTGCCACACAAGTCTATTGCTGCATCTGTTCCAGAACCACAGATCATCATGTGAGAGGTATGTCAAACACTGATACTATCTTATTTTGATTGGATTATTCAATTTCAAAATGGTGCTCAGTTGGGTTGTGATGGGAGCAACATGTTCCTATGCATGAAAAGATGTTTGAGTTCTTGTGGCAGTGAAGATATCGGTGATAGTTTTGTAGGCTGTGATGTCATGTGGTCTTGTAGGTTAGGTTGGAGGTGGTATGTTCCTCCAAATTGTTGGTAATTGCCTGCAAGATGACATGGTATCATAACCTAAGAAGATTGCCATTGATGAAAAGAAATTTTATGGGAAGACATTTCAAAGGTTGACATGTGGAAAACTGAGAAGTTAATGGGAAGTTAAAATTAACACATTCCCTGCAGATCTTAGTGGGAACCTGCCCCTGTGTCAGTTGCTTGTCCTGAAGCAGATCAAATTTTTTGCCTGAAAATTGGAATGTTTTCTTATAAGTCTAATTATGATAGATCACTGGACTGTAAAATGTATATTCTCATTTTCTAGTAGCCATATTTCCCGTCATTCTTCTGTTCTGAGTTGAGTCAGAGACTTAGTTTAACTGTCAAGTAGTCTTGTAATGGAGGAAATGACAGTGAAATGAAACAGGATGTTTAGATCAGTGATGCGGAAACAAGAGTGAATGGATAGTGTTGGGTTTGATTCGTGACTGAGGTCTTTTGTGAATCGTGGGATAATGCCCTGCTTTATGCTTAACCTATCGACTTGACATGCCACAGCTGTGCTGTTATGTACGGGACACGACATGCAGCTTACATCAAACATGATCTATTTTTTCTGTGTTTATGGCACAGGAGCTAAAGAGAAAGAATGTAGCACTTTCAGAAGTTCAGGTTGTGGTCTTCTGGGTTGTTACTCAATGTGGTCCTGTAGGTTATTTTAGGTAGATACCCAGTGTTTCATAGGAACATGCTGTCTGTGCTTCATCCATCTTCATGGTTCAGTTAGGTAGGGCTATGATGAGTTATATAGCAGAAGGTTGAGCGTGGGGCCAAGGAGCACAGGAAGACAGTCCAGTTAAGGCCAACACAGCCCCGTTTGAACCATCAGGGGCAGAAAAAGGTTCACTATGAGGACCAGGATTGTCATTTTGACCATCCACTATGGTGGCCCTGAAAAGTTTCATTTCTCATTCATCTCCCATTCAAGATTCTACCTTTATGATTTGAGATTTTTACGATGTTGGGTCTGCAGATGGCTGCCTTCTGGGCTGTTGTGCTGTTTAGTCTGGTAAACTTCTACCAGACTACTTGGTGCAATAACCCAGAAGACAGCCATCTTCATTCTTCCTTTAGTTACCTTTTTGGTTGGTGGATATAGAGATGGCTTGTTACTCTGAAAAATTGGCCAGCTGCCCATAGGACTATATAGTATAACAGCCCAGAAGAGTTCAGCCTCAACTCACACTTACAAGGTGACTGACATGGCTTCTGACATCCCAGAATGGATAACGTGTCTAGATCTGTTCATCAAGAGCAGAAGGAAGATGTCAAATATATATATTGAATGTACTATGTATGAATCGTAATGGTGTATATTTGTAGTAGTAACACTGCACTGTCCAAGCTCTGGCAGTTTGCCTTGCACACTAAGACAGTTTCCCATGGGTTACATCATGTCACTGTGTGTGATATGTCTGGCCTTGTCAGTCTTTCAGCATCAGGTTTGTGGCTGAGTTTCAGTCAAAATTCAAACGTTTTAGAAATAAATTTAATTTATTAATGATTTTATGGCTTTTACATTAGTTTGTTCAGACTTTTTATGTAATGACACAGTGTTAGCAAATGTCATTGTGCATTTCTTCTTTGTATATGGGAGGCTGCAGTTTTGACACCCAGCCTGGACTCCAGCTGTACTGACTTGGGTTCTCGGTGGTTTTCCTCTCTCCCTGCAATGATCAGTAGGCTGCAACTGCTTCAGAGTCTTTTCCAGTTGATCCTTCTGTTCTACATTGTACAACCTGTGTGGTTAATAAAGTGTCATTAAATAGACAACCCTGTGTTGTATCCATCTTCTTCACTTCCACCACGCATTACCCACAGTCTCCCTGTCTGGTACCATCAACATGAGGACTAACTCTTCATCTTGTAGATGGAAACTGTATTCTATAAAAATATGTTGTCCTTCCCAGAAAATTAATTTGAAACTACAAATTCTTCTTTTATGAAATTTTTATTTACAGTGTTGCTTTGCTTTGTATTGTGTTCTTTGGTGCTTTTGTAAGTTGCAACAATTTAGCATTTCAGCTGCAAGTGTTACTTGAGGCATGCCTTATTGGAACATAAGTTTAATACTAAAATAATTACTAAATTTAATGGAAGAGACCAACCAATAACATTGGGACTGTCTTCATTTTGAGCATCTTATCTGCTTTAAACGACATTTGTGCATAATTTTTAGCTGATGTTATCAGATACAATTTAGCATTGAAATAAACCAAAAACAATTCCTTCATATATCATTTACGTGTTCTAATACTTTAATAACTGTATTTTAATATCGTGAATCACCATAAAGTGTGGCTCTGTGGGTTGTGACATTTCTATAGTTTCATTGGTGCTGTATTTTCTGTAAACTGTAGAAAGATTTATGCCATTTTCTTCTTCAAGGACCTGTTAGTCCATATCAGAAAGCCTAGTGAGTGATTTCAATGGACTTGAGAAGTAGGTTGTCAGATCTAGGGTTGCTGCCTTAGTAGTGTGTGCTGACATTACCTAGAATGGAGTTTATTGTATAAGATTCTATCTGAACTATTGAAGACTAATAAATTCCATGAATGTGGCATGTACATGTCTGATTAATTCAATTGGTTTCAGTCATTGATTGAGTTTGGTGCAGATTTAGTCACCATTCCATTTTATTAGTCGGTCTTTGTAACCTCTGACCACTATTTTTTATAACTTTGCTATTGATTGTGGCACAATAATGGAGTCAAGTGTAGATTTAGGCACAATGAATTTTGTTAGTATTTTTTATGTGTTTCCTCCAGGAATTTTTTGTCATAGCCTAAATGTTTAAAGTGGTTAACCCTTTCAAGGATTTATCTTCCATTACAATTTTAGTTTGAACTGGATATTTTCCTTTAAAAACCATTATTCTAGTTTTCTTTATTGAGGTCTTTAAAGTGATATAAAGGTCATTGCAGTGCATCTTCACTTTCTTAAAGCATAATTTGGTCATCTGCAAATTGCAATGTATACAGGGCAACCGTTTCCTTTAACCATAACCCTGGGCCACCTTTCTCCTTCCCTCCTCGGATGACATCATCAAAGTAGATGATGAATAAGGTTGAAGACAGACTACAACCCTGACATATAGGCCCAAAGGAAGGATATATCTTGATAGTCTAAGCGATAGGCGGATTTCATAGAAGCCGGAACAGGACATCGGCATAATCCACGAATTGGTGAAGAAGAAGATTTATTTGTGTCTAAGGATTGCTATATTCTGGATTGTTGCGCCGGGTAGTCCGGTAGGACCTCTGAAACGTCGGTAAACATCTACCAGACTACACAGCGCGACAACGAAGATCAATCTTTAGACTCACCGCCGTGAAAACCTCAAATCCTACATATTTGTATCTACTGACCTCTGATTCCTATTTTCTTTGCTGTTGGTTGTAGTACAATTGGTAACGTCGTTCAGTGCCTATGTTATCTTTGGCTTGCACATTGATTCGAGGAAGTTGTTTCTAATATTTGTTACGATTTATCGCGCATAGTGAAAATTTGCTTTTATAATTTTGTATATTATAAATTGGTACTCAGCGATTGTTTTGCATAAAAGTTTGCTTAGAGTTTCGGTAAGTTGAACCTAGAATTTAGAGTGTTTGCTATATAATATGGTTCTTGAGGCGTATGTTCATTATGGTGGGCTGCGTTGGTATTCAGACGCAATTCATATTCGAATTGCAAGCGAGAAGAAGCTATATAATTTGAAAAGTTTAATTCAATTGAAGAAGTAGAAACAGCCAAATTTCTTGGCCCACGAACTGACTAACTCAAATTGTAAAACATTCAGTACGCTATCCCTCATGTAAATCATGCTTTGCTTGCTAGGAGTGTTACATCATTCATGAAAACAACTGCTTTAAAATTAGTCTACTTTGCTTAATTCCATTGATCGTGTTATATGGAATTATTTTCGGGGGGAAACTCCGCAAAATTGTATTTTACATTGAAAAGAAAATCATAAGAACAATGACAGGCACTAAAAGGAGTGCCTCATGTGGGGAGCTGTTAAAGAAATTTAATATTGTTTCACGGTATAAAGAAGTGTAAGCCAGCAGTCAAAGAGTACCTCCATTTTCACTCCTACTCCATAGAAGAATTTACTTCAATCAAAGTTTCTCATCTGTTATAAATACATGTGAGCAGTAGTGATTATGCTTTCTTGTGCAATTATTTTTGTTGTAAAACTGTAGCTGGCTGTAAATTACTGTTGTAATTATGTGATTTATATGTGTATTAGAAAAAAGTATATTTGTGCTGTTACATCTGCATCCTTGGGTTGGGCTTGTGAAGGATCTATGGAACATAAATACATTCCATTCTGTTCCAATAGACACTGTCATAGTAACACTATTCTGTAATGAATTGATTTGTTACTTGCGTGTGCATTTCATATCGTTTGGAGAAGTAAATGTTGCTTGAAATGATTTCCATACAAAATTTTTGTGCTAATGTCTTGGGAAATGTATTCTTGTAAAACTGAGGAGATAGGAGGATAGTGGTAACACATTGCTCCTGACTTAGTAGAGCGTAGTAAAATTAGGTCTGTGCTGCTTCTGATGTATTAAGACAGTAATTTCTTGTTGAAGAATCAAGTACCAGGAAAAGAACTGGGCTAATAGCACCATGTACTAGTTGTTGAAGGTGTGAGTTCTGCTACAGGCATCAGTGTTGCATTGTGTTGTCAATACACATCACCATGCAGTATGTGTGAATTAGACTGACGTGGCTAATGTGTGCTTGCAGGCTGTTACCATGTCATTCAAGAAGATTGTGCTGAAGAGCACAACAATGATGTCACTCAATGAACGGTGAGATGCAACTCTGTGAGGCTGACAAGCCCTGTTGCCGGTGGCAGCCCCGATCATTAGAATTAAGTAAGACAGCAGACTGCATTTGCATGCAAGATGGCAAATTTTACAGCTGTATGGCACTGGGTTTGAATCTCAGTGTATCCACACTGAGGTTTTTCTTGGCTTTCCTCAGTTTCTTCAGACAAAAGCTGAGAATACAGGCATGATGACTTGAGCATTCTACACTCTTTTGCAACTGCAGGTGATAAAATGGAATAAAGAAAGAGCAAGCGCATCTCATGATTATACATAAAGGCATATTTATTACATTTAGAGTTTTAAACTAATTATCCTGCTATGACTGATGCAGTGGCACAATGACGAACCCACGAGCCTGGCATACTGGCCCCATTTACATTGATCTCACCTGTTTACCAACTAAATGACGTTTCATGGCTCAAATGTGGGATCCTTTTATTTCAGCTATTATTTCTCAGGAACACACATTTTTAGCTGATTGTTACGTAAAGGAAAGGTACAAAGTTTGTACACATAGGTGATACACTGTTTTTTGTCCTCTCATTTGTGTCACTATGGAGACGGATGTAATGTTAGAAACAAACGCTGAGTTGAATTTCCTGGAAGACACTGCCTGCAAATTAGACCTTGAGCTCTGGAACAGTTATTCTCAAAGTTACTCAGAGATTTTTAGTGAAATTTGATGATGATGTGTGTGTGTACTTTTTTATCCAGTTCGTTAAATTTTAATTTTTTCAGGTGTATTCAAAACTGCAGAATGGTACATGTGGTGATCTGTAGCATTTTTTAATGTTTAATATAATGTAACATTAATTTGTGCCCTCAGTGCAATGTCATATTTATACTTTTGATTTTCTCTATCAGCAGTAGGATTTATTGATGCTATGCAAAGTGTCTGTCCACTAATTACGCTTGTATTGTTTGAATCTATGGCGTGTCATTGTGCGTTTATGCTTTAGCATATCCAATACAGGAATAAAAAAATTCAAGTGTCATTGCAGCTGCAGGCTTGACTGTCTCTGTTCTTATATCCAGTAGTTGTTTTTGTGTTGGTCAGCTTGCCTTAGTTGAGGATAGTTCTGTAGTGTTTAGCACTTGGGCTTTGTATTATGGAAGTCTCAGGTTTGAATTTCAGCCTCAAAGCCTGCTGTCAAACCAGGTTTTTATTTGCAATATCCAAGGATGTTCTGTGGTAAAATCTGGAAGTAGGTCACACTTTCTGCTTACTCATCCACAGTCGGTGCGGTTTGAAACGTGTTCGCTGGGTTGAGTCATACAATGGCAATTTTATAAGATATTTATATACATTTCTATTAATTTTTTGTCTGTTTGACAAAGGGGCTGCCTCCCCTGGCAGAAAATGTGTTATGGCAAGAGAGTGGTCTGTCATAAGCCAGGCAAGGAGCTGATGTATCATTTTACAGAGTTTGGTTGTAGTGTGACCACTATACTGATGAGATAATACATGTTTGGCTTACCAAGCTGTTTTGGTGCACTTGCCGCACAAATTTTAACCAGTCTTCTGTTGGGAGTTCTCGTGATGGAGACACCCTGAAAATGAATGTAACTTGCGATAGCGTAATGCAGGCAGTAAACGCCCACTGACCTATCAGAGTGTTTGTTAACAAGGCAGGCCATAGAGCCCACAGATTGAGAGACATGACTACTGATGAGAGTGTTCATGAGAGATAGCAATTGGTAGATTGTACCCCTCACAATGTTCAGAGAAAGACCTGGCAATTGTGAAAGTGAGGAACAAGAACTGCTACCAAGTAGTCAAGTGAATTTGTCACTGGAACAGTTTTTAGTGAGAGCTCAAAACTAAAGTGACCAGAGCAAAGGGCAGGAAAGATGTTACAGGTCACATAGAAACAAATCACAGCCTACTAAATTAAAACAGCATTTGATGTGACAGTTGCTAACCAGAATATGTTCCAGTCTTGCATATTGCCCATGCCATAACTGAATGATGAATGGCATAGCAATAACACGCAGTTGTAATTGTAATGATGCCATCTTCACAAATGGTAAACAGAATAATTGGGCAGATACCATGAGTCTCAAAGAAAGAGACAGAATTGGGTTGTCTGTAGACGCATCCAAGTTGCAGAAGACTGGTTTGCGAGAGTTGCAAATAATGGTCGGAGTGTTTCACAGCTTCACGTGGCTTCGAAACAACCAAGAAAACTCGATTCGGAACTTGAGGGAAAACAACACCTTGCAGCATCAGGCGTCAGTGAAGAACCGTCGGCTGGCACAGCAGATGGAGCGTCGCCCAGCTGTCATGGCGGCTCTCAAGCTCAAGAAGGTAAGTGGTGATGTTGCAAAATCAGAACAGACCACATCCTTCTACATTTAAAAGTACTAATTTGGATGTTTCAAGAAAATGTATTTATTTCCTAAAAGAAGAACATCACTACAAATTTGTGCTTGTGCTGTAGCTTCCACAATATGACGCAGATGATGCAGTTTGCACATGGTGGCTATTTCTGTATCTTCTGAATACATGTGGAGGAACACAGCAGACTGAAATGACTGGCTGTTTCAGAGGAGCTTGCGGCAGAGACTGGGGCAGCCCACAGCAAGCAGTGTGAAGGACAGGCTGACACTCACAGTGCCTGCAAGAGGTGGACGTGGCCGTGCCCGCTCTCGAGGCAGAGGCAGAGTATGGGGAGGCAGGCTCGGTGAGTGTTTTTCATTGCTACCAACAGCTGCTACTGTGGTGGTTGTGTATGTTTACATTCAAGTTTGGTCCCAGAGCTTGGACAGGTTTGATGGACCAGCAAGAGCAAGGTATAGTTGTACAGCCACCACATTCATAGAATGTGTCAGTCCTAATCTTTTAAGTTATGCACTTTGTAATTTTAATGTAGAATGGTTTCATATAAAGTTTGTGCCTGGCTCCTTACAGAATTTGTTAGCTTGGCTCCAGTGGCCCATTATTTGCTGTGCGTAAACAGAAGTTTGGTTGATGCTGTCATGTCATTGTACATTTTATAAACAAGAACTTCTAATTCTCTTTCAGTTTACAAATTCATATTTATACAATCTAGGGACCCATTTCTCTGCACAAATTGTGATGTATTAAATTGTGAGCTATAATGTTCAAGTTTTGCATGATTGCTACTTAGTAATTGTTAACATCCGAAAGATATGTTTCATACATAATTTTGAAGTTTATGCTCTATCACAAAAAGAAAAAATCACAGATTTGCTTTTATAGTTACTAGTTGTCACCATAAAATGAACCGGTAGTTGTGGCACTGCTTCTTTGTTTCTTTACATTGCTGAAAAGTTGCCTTGGCAGTAATTGTGCATGTTTCGGAAATGTTACATGCCAGAAGCGGTAACCTTGGTATAGAATCCAGTGATGTGATATTCATACCAGTTTTAATGAAATTCTCTCAATTGACTTGAAAGTTGATGGGAGGATGTTCTCTAATAAAATAAGGAATGTAGCAGGTAATGAGTATGAAGGTAAGAAACTCCATTTCATTCTCTCACAGGCCGAAGCCAGAGCTTGCAGTCACTGAACCGAAGTAGCAATGTGGGAGATACGTTCAGGTTCAGACGAGGACAGGGGCGAGTGTTCCGTGGCAACTCCCAACGCCGACCATTCAGGAGGGGAGGTAGTAAGTATTTTTGTTCTTCATCAGAATAATGTAATGATGAGTTGCTGCTCGCTCAGCATGTAGCACTGTAGTATTTTTTTGTTTTCCTTAGTTCTTTCAAGCATTTCTATAGACTGTGACCTTTTTCTTTCCACGTCTGTCATCATATTAGGCATTAGGAAGCATCCTCTGATGGCTGTCAGCCATGCTTTGTGTTACGGAGCTCTGATGTTTCTTGCTAACTGCTCATGTTTTAGGGTCTGGTGTTGGAACTTCACGTGGTGGCCGTGGTGTTGGTGCAGGTCGAGGTGGAGGAATTGGGAACAGATTCACACGAGGCAGGGGGGGCACATTCAGGTTAGTTTTGATTTTTGTAGTCAGTTGTATTCTGAGGCTGTAGTGGAAGACCGAATCTTAGAAGATGTGTATCATCTAAGTCCCTGGTAGTAAATCTGAAGGTCAAACAGCCCACTATCGAACACAATCCTGAGTTCACATCCTGAAAACCTGTTTATTGTGTCATATTGGCTGAAATTTAATACACTGCAACTAACATAAAATCCCTTACTTTACTTATCAGTTGCATAAAATAGGATGAATCATTTTCCAGTCCCTTTGATGCCTGTTACAACATATACATCCCTTGTAGTGCTGAGGATAGTATCAAAATGTGTCTTGGAAACAGGTTGTAATGATATCTTTTTGATTCAGTCAACTTTGCCACTTACGTGATTATTTTGGTTGATGCTGCATGATGGCGTGTTTCCAGACGTGGTGGACGCACTCGAGGAGGGCGTGGGCGTGGCTCACTGCGTGGGCGGCAGGTGCAAACCATTCCCTCAAAAGAGGAGTTGGACCTACAACTGGACCAGTATATGGCAAGCACAAAGTCGCACCTTGACAAGGAACTGGACTCGTACATGAATCAGGCGCAGGATGAAACATGGGACTGAGGAGGAACTTTTAATTTTAATGGAATCTTATGACATAAATATGTGTGATATGTGTGTTTTGATACAGAAATAGTGTTTAAATGTTGATAGTATGTATGATCTCTTAAAAGTGATGCTCATTATTAGTAAGTATGTTTGTATCAGTTTATTCATCTGATGAGCCAACCAAACTATAGCCTGAAATTGCAGGACACAGCGAGATGAGGGGTTGTGTCCGACATATCACCTGTCACTTTTCTCACTGACACACAGAATATCACAGTGCAGCAGACACCTAAAGTTTGCATCTTGGCTGATGTCATCAGTACAGTGGCCTAAACCAGTGTTCCGCAACCTTTTTTCACCTACAGCACACCCTAATTTGTCAAAAGAATGTGATGCCACACCACAAAATTTTTCTTAACAATAAGGGGTATGAAATTATATATGACCATAGATATGCATGTACATAAACATCTTTGCATACAAGAATATAGGCATATGAAAAAACATAACACGTGTTGAATAAAACTATCGATGAAGAACGTGTGTGTATTATGTCTTCCAATTACTAAAGATAAATTTTGCTTTTTCCTAACTATAACATGCAAATATACAATTTCTTGTAAAAGTTTATCGCACACCTGAAACTTGTGGTGGCACACCAGTTGCGGAACACTGCCCTAACTGATTGATGATTTCCTTCCCAAGTCATAATTATCTCAACCATTAATGTGGTAAACTTCTGTCAGACTACACGGCGCAACAACCCAGTAGACAGCCTTCTTCAAACTCTGCCGTGGAAACCTCAAATCCTAAATGTCATTTGATACACAATATGAACTAGATACATGAGATGTCACTGTGGGAAAGCAATGACACTGAGCCACTTCATATTCATGTCATGTTCTTTAGACAGTGCCATAAAAATTAAATGAAAGTGCTTTGCCATCCATGGTTGCACCATAATTGTCATCTTGTACGTTGACATTTTCACGATGTTGCTGCATCCACATCGCCATTCTTGATATCATCTCTCATAAGCGCTTTTCGTAGTGTCTTCTGTGTATGTTTCCTGCCTTGCACTTGGTCCCCTCCCCCCCCAGTGGTGTTCATTTTCAGGTGTGTTCTCAACTGAATGTTGCAAAATTTACCTACTACTTTTGCCATATGTATGCATGCATGCCCACATGTAGAAATGCAAGAACTGCTAAAAGGATTTATACTAAATTTGGTTTAGGGAAATTTTACCTACATATGTCAATACATTCTAATTTTGGTTAAAATTGGGTTATAGTAATGGACGTTTTAAATGTGTATCTACTTAAAATTAGTATATTGCATATGTCTGTGTGCCATACTTATTGTCTTACAGTAGTGTTCTTCAGCATTTCTGGTACTGTGTTTCATGTGGAAAGTTTCAATGTGGTGTTTGCATACATCTTTGTCCCCAAAATTTTATAACCTGTGCAGAACATGTTAAGTAGGAGCCTGGTTAGATGGGCAGGAAATCTCTCATGGGACTGCTGAGGGATGTATTCATAAGAACATGTCAGTCACATAATCTAAAGTTTTGGATCAGGGCCTGAAGAATTTTGGTTTCAGAAATGGTCTGAATTTCCATTATAAAGTTTAAAACATTTTCTCATGCAGAAATGGCAGTCGCAGATTGGTGCTTTGTGTGTTGTCATCATCTTTACTTTAGCTCTAAATCATTCTTCACAGAAGCCTGTAGTGTTTGAAGTGAAGAAACACCTCCATCAGTGGTTGACATGAATAGAATTTGTTGTACTCTGTGTCTGCATTTTTCTGCTTTGAACCAAAATCCTTTTTTCTCTGTTCATCTGTTTGTGGTGCTACTGGCTAGCAATTTGTCTGCCTGCAATGGGTTAAATATGTGAATGAGCTCTGTGTTTTTATGTTGGAACCCCCCGATTTCTTTAAAAGTGTGATTGTTCAGTAATTCAAACCAGATCCCACTTTCAGAAATCAAGTCTGCTTTTGGTTGTAGTTCAGAACCAAAACTGTTGAAAATATTTGGAATATTAACAATTCTGGATTGCTTATGATGACTGGTGAGTCTTGTCTTTTTTGAAAGAAAACACTATCTGATAATTATGGCCTTTTACCAGGTTGTTATTTGTAGTTGTCTTGTCTTCAAGCTCTGCACTGTAAAGCATATCTGGTTAGTCATTTTACAGCTGTATACAAGAAGGAATAGTGAAGGTGAGTAGAGGAGTAATGTGACAACTGTAGTATGTAAAGGTAGTTTGAAGTTTCGAATTGAGTATGAAATTTGAAAGCAGTGAAATGTTATGTTGCCTGGCAGTGAAGACAGATATGTAATATAAAATTGTTAGGGCTTAGAGAATTAAAGGTTGGAATTTAATAGATAGAAATATATATTATGTAAATGAAATTGAATTAGAAATGAAGATAATTTGGCCATGTGGAAAGAGCTAAGTGATAATGAGATTAGGCATTAGAATTTAAAATTCAGATATCTACGTGATGATTGGGAACAAGATGGTTTACCAGTTAGTGGGAGGTATACAGAAGTACTGATTGTGAGACTTAGTCCTGCTGCTGTATAAAATTGATAATAGTTGTAGCAGGGAAGCCAGACTTTGCTGACTGCAGTTTGTGGTTCGTCACTTGGTTGTACTGACAGGTAAACTGAAAATTATCTTCATTTAGTTAAGTTCGTGAAAAATTTAATTCGTGAAGTAAAATAAGAAACGAATTGTGAAAATTTTAACAATTTTTTTTGAAAAAAATAATGCTAAAAAGTGAGGGAAACTTTTCTAACGTAATTAGCACAGTGAAATTGTCTAATTAGTAATTACGGACAATATAGGTTAGGGTATTTTTAAAAAAATTGGTTGTTCAGGTAGAGAAATTCCCTACATTTATTAATGAGCAGTGATTCTCGAACGTCACTGCCACTTCGAAAAATATCCACGTTTCCAAAAACATGTTAGATTAATTTTTATTATTTATTAGACACAAAACGAAGAAGTGGAATCATCTTGGGAACAACATGAAACGACACAACTATAGTATGTACCAAATATGTGAAATTATATGTAGAGTAGGACAACTTAATTGTATATCTCTGAACCTATGTGATGGTTACGTAGTATCAATGACACGTATATTTCTTGATGTAGCCCATTCTAAACGTATTTTTATGGTCTGTGTTCTAGGCCATATGAAACCAGTTTTGTACAAATGAACGTAGTCGATCCAATTGGCGCGAATATCACCCACGCATGTTATCGAAGTTAGATAGGTTGAGTATAAGCGGTTGTTATATGTAAGTGGGTGTTGGTAGCGTTTTTCTGTTTGTAAGGTCTCCTTTCATACCATTCTTTCTAAATGTGAACAGTTTTCAAATTATTGTGGAATTTTTAAAGCACAAGTTCTTCAAAGTAAATGTTGGTTAATGTAATTTTATGGACGTTACATTTCCTAGATTGGATGCTGCTTGTGAGTAAGGTTATTGGCAGCAAGGTTTAGTTAGAGCCAAATTTCAAAGTGTGGGTCCTTAATACAAGAACATTTTATATTTGTAGGTGCAAAGATGACGCAGTTCAGTCATTCATCAACAAATAATAATGTTTCAAAATCTCATCGTAATACAACGAAAATTTTTAGTGCAAACAAAATGAAGACGTCCCATGGATTGAGTAGCAGGATCTTGCATGGAAACACTGCTGCCAATGTTAAAATTCAACTGCCAGTTTCATACATGCTGTAAGTAAATTGCATGTCAACTGGATCTGTGATTTTGTTCTGTTGTATGGAGTTTATTTTATGTTGTCATGTCATGTGAAGGAAGTTGTGGTTATGGTGCTTGTTGCATAATCTTCATTGATTCATCCTGCAGAGTGGATATCCTGACCAAGGTTTTTATAGTTTTCCTCAGTCCCTCCAGGCAAGTGCTAGGGCATGATTCTGACCACTCACCCCCATCTAGTGCCGAGATCAAGAATGAGTAGGATCTGTATCTCCTCTCCCATAAGTTCCTACATGGCAGATATTGGGACTGGTTTTCTTTTCTGTTCTTGATGATTTATTGCACTAGAAA